ACCCCACCACCCTACAGCGGATCGGCGCGCCTCACTAAAACCCTACAACAGATCGGCACGCCTCACACAAACCCTACAACGGATCGGCGCGCCTCACTATAACCCTACAGCGGATCGGCGAGCCTCACTAAAACCCTACAATGGATCGGCGCGCCTCACTAAAACCCTACAACAGATCGGCACGCCTCACACAAACCCTACAACGGATCGGCGCGCCTCACTAACACCCTACAGCGGATCGGCGCGCCTCACTAAAACCCTACAATGGATCGGCGCGCCTCACTAAAACCCTACAACGGATCGGCGCGCCTCACACAAATCCTACAACGGATCGGTACGCCTCACACAAATCCTACAACGGATCGGCGCGCCTTACACAAACCCTACAACGGAAGCGTAACGCATTGTAGTGTCGTGGTTAGCGCGCCGCGCTACGAACCCGGCGACCCGAGTTCCATTCCCGCTCACGGCCACCACCGGTGACGATTATTTGAACCGGTCCTGGGCCTCCCCTAGGTCGACTCAGCCTCAAAACGAGTAACTGGTGTGGCGTATGAACATCGCCACTGGGGAGACAAAGGCGGCCGGGCGTGGTGGATCCAAGTCCCGGGCGAAGCCGGGTAGTACAGCTAGTTATTTTTATAATTTTTTCTATCTACGTGGCTTTACCGAAAGACCCAAAGAATATGAATTCCTGCAGTCACGAAAGCTTTAAGTCAAGCGATGTATAGCTCGTCAGATTCCTCTACGATAAATACATATTCTGATTCCGATAATGTTGTTTTTGAGATACTGCATTGGTGGTGGTGCACAGCATAAATAACACACATTTAACACTTTCGTCAAAAACGCCCCAAAAAGGAAAAATATTCGACGTTTCAGACAATGGCTCTTTTTCATTGTTGTTCAACCACCACATTGCTGGCCAAACACACGTGTCTGCTTCCTCCCTCGCACTGCTCGACTTTGGAATCCCCTAATATAATTTTCTTTATTCAAGAAGCGTGTTGAATCTTAATCTGTTACAAATGTTTTTTGCGCTGTTTATTGCTGGCCGTTTTGCACCTTTGCTCGGGAACATGTGTGGAATAAAAGGCGTGCTCGTCCATGACTGCGATTTTATACACAGAGGACCACCTATTGGTCAGATCGCGTGTGTGCTGGGTGGGCGTATATCTGAAATGGTCCTGGACCTCCCCAAGATGGGCAACCATAAATAGGTGCCTGGTGCGATGTGTGAACATCGACACTGGGGGGGCGAAGTAGGTCGGACATGGTGCCACCCACGACATCACTCGTTCGCACTCACAGCACTTGTCCCAATCGTGTCACTAAAAGGTGTGCGGGAAGTCCTTAAACTATTTCCTTGTAAGCTCTCGTAATCTTTCAGGGGTAAATGAGTAGAGCGGCTTCCCGTCCACTCGATGTATATGCATAGCTTTGTTCAGTCCATTGCTGGATGAGGACCTCCCCACGTCGCGCACATGCCGGATAATAGGGGCAGTTCAGTTGAATACCATGTTTATTATTTCACGGCTGCTCAGCATAGGTCCCAAACGCCAAGCGTCCAGCAACAGACTGCATTGTTGAAGGTAGGATAGATGAGTCCACACTCTTTTTTTTACTAGAGCAAAGTTATGATAAATAGGGAAAGGAGTAGATGGGAGCGAATTATAAAGTAGAGGAATGCGAGGGAAGAATCCAAAAGGGAAGCGTTGTGACCTGCGGTGATGGGTGCAGATGAGACGAAACAAATCAGCCTGGTTGACTGAGTCCTGAACATTGGTGGAGGAATTCATGAGCGAAGTTGGATCGAAACGGTAATCATGGTAGCGATAGAAGAGTCATCAGGAGGCTACTGACCGCCTGTGAGCGAGTGATTGGAGTAAATCGGTTAGTGCAGTTTCATAAATCACACCGACTGCTGCTTTACTCTGAATGCTAACAGGAGCAGTGAGGTAAGAACTGGGTGTCCAACCCCAGATATGACAGCAGCAGGATTTCAACTTCGACCGAATTTGTGCTTTGCATAGCAGCAATAATTGTTCTGAGTTAAGCCGGTTTTAAAACGGAAAAATAAAACGAAACTTCTTTGATGCATCTTTAGTCGGATTTGTATAATTATAGCCATTTCATGGCAGGTCTGATGAACGCGTTGTTCCAAGGAGACGAATGGATTTACTATGGCTGAGCATAACTTTGTTTAATATGAAGGGATGAACTTATGGCATGTCCTGCCTTACGTGGTGTGATCATTGACTGGGTTTGAGATGAACGTGACTGGGTTTGAGATGAACGTGACCGGGCTGGTGTCACCTCATTGCTAAATTGTTTGAAAGTCAGTGGTGATTTATAGTAAAGTTCGGGAAAAAATGTGCACAGCATTGCCGGAGGCACGCCAAGAGGTAACGGTGTGAAGGCAGACGCGACGAGGCAGAGGTTTTCATTAAAACTTGTAACGTTTATATAAGCCAAGTATTTACACTTTAAAAGTGTGAAAGATAAAACAGTAAACGGCAATTGTACACATACATAGAAAAAAGTTACTTCACAAACATGCGCCGTATACGAGACTTGACTTTTCCCTCCGGGTCCGCCCGCAAGTTAAAGGCGACTGTACGCGTTTTATGTTCTTAATTATTACTATACTGTACTCTTTTCTTACAAAAAAAAGTTTTAATGTTCATTTTTTTCCATTATTTTCTCTTCCTGTTTTGAAACTCGCTAGACACCTTCATAGCAAAACTACATGAACGGCACGCGTTGTATGCACGATAATAATTAGCACGTCCTGACATCACAGATACAACGTCCGTGTGCACCACTCGCTGACATCACCTCTCGCTCGCTCATTCGTCCATTGCGCACGCGTTTTGCACGAGGGTTGCCGCGATATATATTTTTAAAAATCCCCATGATAGTGAATAGTAAAAAAAAATACAATTTAGTCGCTCCTTTGCCAATCCACTGGTTGGTAGGATGATCTTAGTTATTTAACACTTATTTATTATGGAAATCCTCACGCAGTTTTCAACTCTTTTTCAGAAGCTCCTTCTAGTTTTCGTGGTAAGGACACGAGGTGGCTGCGTCATCCCAATCGAGTAATTTGCGGGTAATTTTTCAGCAATGGGATGAATGGCCATGCTTATTTTTAGTTATTGGAGGAAACCCCATGCAGAAGAGATGGGAGAACTTACGAACTCCACAGAGTCAGGAATCCAAACCCAGGCGTTCATTGCTGTGAGGCACCAGTGTTACCACCGTGCCACCACCCTGCCGCCAAACACGATCTGTCGATAATGGTGGTTGTTCAACTGCACTTCTGCGCAAGTTATTCGCGGTTGTGCTGTAGCCTGTACGGCTCTCCAATATTGTACGGTGTTGTTCGACATGACCGAACAGCACGTGGATCGAAACATTGCAATTGCCGAACATGTAGTATGACCCCAAAGCAAAAAGATTTGCAAGACCATGCTTCACCACGATGGGCAGTGCGAGTTAGTAAGCTTTAGGCTGGACGGTTCAGATATCACTCGCCACTGATGCTAGCCGTGGCTGGAAATCAAATTCGGGTCGTCACATTCTTAACTACGGTGTTATTCCATTTCCACAATACAACGCGGAATGCCATGATTTTTTTTTGTAATTGAGGTTATATTGTTGCAGTCTTCGCAGTATTCGCTGAACGTTGAGCCAACGCTGATCTAGCGATCCCAACCACATGCCAACGTTGGCATGCTTACTCGGCTGCTTTTGAGCTTTGCCGAACGGTTCAGATTACTAAAGTTCTTCAACTGGACTTCACTCAACATACGCCTGCCATGTATTCTCATCATTGTAACGTTGTAATCTATAACACTCCTATAACGTACACGCCGTCAGGTGCACAAGAAATAACTGCACCAAACTACGGCAATAGTCTACGTTGACTTGAAGTTGTCCGTGCAGGAAACAACCACGTTCATTGGGACATTGCTATTTATTTAAAACTGTAATTACTGTGTTTGTGATTTCACAACTATTCTTCTCGGAGAATGAGATATAAAAAAAGTAACCAGGGATATTTAGGTAAACCGAGAGATAGATTATCCTGGACAATCGCCAGATCGCGACCACCCTAGCGTGCAGGACCACCCACGTACGCAACGCGACATAGTGCGTGTGCACACATATACATAGGTAAGTTACGGTGAACTCTTGCTACTACATCGTTGGTCACGGTCACGACAATAAGTTAAACCTCTTGATAAATCCACTTCTGGGTGACGAGACTCCTGCCCCCATACCGTGTGTGGTTCGTAGAGGATGGTGCGGGTTGTTTGACCATACTTCACCACGCCAGCCGATCAGTGCGCATTGATGATGTAAGGTAATTTTAAAAGGGTAAACGTTGACAACAACAAAACAGGAATTCAATGAACTCGTCAACGTCGAGACCTGCTGTTCACAAACTTCAGTTATTCCCTTTAACGAGACAGATTTGAATTAAACGTTTTAAAATAGGTCAAAGTGCCTCCATGATTATGGCATTAATTCGTGCTCGTCTCAATCAGAGGACCTGAGCCAGAAAGTGGTACTAATTGTATCGACCTCGGAGGAATGATGGGCTAAGTCAATCCCCAGTTGGGATTTGACCTTGAACACAAGACCTCCCCCCGTTTGTTCGAACTGGTAACTTAATCTGTATATGTATTGCATACGCACTAAACACTCTATAAAGTGCATAGACTCTCCTGTGTATTAATACGCATACACACACACGTATATAAACGCGTGCAGCACGTATGTTGGCATGTGTACACGTGTGTGTATTGCGGGGGGGGGGGGGGCTGGCTTAAAAATCGTTCGATCGCAGCAGAAATCCCACTCAAAGTTGTGTATTCAAAATGCATCATCTACTTCTGAACGGAAAAAGCCAGCCACAGATGGTGGTGATCAGGGCTTAATTTCAGCCGGTGATGTCGAGGGCTCAGATCCAGATATTAGGAGGGGGGGGGGGGGTCTCCGGGGGGGGGGGGGGGTTTGGGGGCCATGAGAAATTAAGCCCTGATGCTTATGATCATAATAACAACGAATGTGGTCATATACTACAATCCACACGCCACATATGATTGTACGTGTACAAAACACGTCCTGTATGTACACATGTACATATGTACAACACATACGCCAGTAGTGCACACGGCAAGGCGCGCACACACACGCGAGCGACACTGGACAACCACTGCACGACGCGACGCTTCTGCTGGGAGTCTTTCCACGACCATCGTTTTAAAAAACCCTTAATAATAGCAATAGCTTTAACAACAAAAAAACCACACAAACAACAAGAGCACATAATACGTATAAAATGGTGCAACCACGACAACGTAGTAATTATCATCACTATTATTTAAAAAATAATAATATAACATTAAACAAAGTAAGAGAAGACAATCTCATATGCCAGACCCTTTGGGTCCATTAATTCACCACGTGGCCACAAGACAGAAATGAAATGACACACGAAAGTGTAAAGGAGCTGCGAGGTCTTTGGCCCGAAAAATAGGGCGTCTCAAACTCCAACCCACGACGACCCGCACCGCTCCCGTTTACTTTCCATATTCACGGAAACTAATTTTGCACCGCCAACGGCGAATAATTGTAAACACGGAAAGCCGGACTGTGGTTGGGACCAGACCGGCGAGGGCTGGAGTTTGGGAGGCCCTCCACTCACAGCTCCCCCCATCGTCCCTTTTGCATTGTCTCTTGAGCTGCGGCTGCTGTGCGTGCGTTCTGCTACTGGGGGTGAGGAGGCTTCAGTCTCAAGTACGCGGTGACTACAGGTGGCTTAGTAACGTAAAACAATGTCACAGGTTAACACTGTCATCTGGCAGCGCGAGCTGACGGGCGATGTTCATATCCGCATCTGGTTGCATATAAAAAACACTAAACGGAGTTTGAGTGATGTGTTAGCAGAGAGCATTGTTCAGGTGGGAACACAGGAAATCGGGAGCATAACGGAAATGTAGCCATTTCCCTGCACCAATTAAAAGCTGGAAAAAGCGTGTGCGACCAAAAGTATCAACTGGGGTGATTAAGTGTTTATTCCCCACTGTCAAATGTCCACCAAAAAGTGCCTGCATGTGAAAATAATCTCCGAGTCGGCATTCCTTCCCCACTGGTGGCCCAGAATCAGTTGTGCAAACTCTATGAGGTGGAGGGGGTGGGTCAATTGCTCTACAACACAATCGATGCCGACTTCCCATAAAATGTTACTTATTTTACAGACATCGGAGGAATGATGGGGCTGATTGAACGCCATAACCGAGGATTGATGTTGGCCGAGCTCAGAGAATGTCACCTTTGCGGGTGGTAAAAGTGGGTGGAGTTGGGGGGTATTCGCAAAGTGTCCACGAAATACCGGGATAGTAAGTATCGGTTTTCTTAAACGAATCCCGATTGTTTCCACGGCGACAAAAAATGTATCTATTTTACAAGCCTGTGTTATTTATATTGCTTTTCACGTTATACAAAAACATAAAAAGAAAATATTAAAGCGAGGTCAAAACACCACTTAAACCACCGCAAATCGCAAGTCAAAACTGCAGGAGTTACCGCACGGCGCGTTATTTGAACCGGGATCACACCGGCGCGCGATGTTTCTGCGCCGCACGGAGATGTGGATAACAAAGACAGAATTGCTTTGTATGCTCTTCATTTTTGTTTAACAATTGCGATATTCATTCCCACCCCCCCAACCCCCTCCTCAAAACTCCATTACGCGCGCAACGGCAGGATGCAAGCGCCAACGTTATTTCGAGGACACGCGTGCAGGTAAATAATCGGTCGTACGCAACCAGAAACGCGACGCTTTAACAAAAACCTCACCGAAACGATATGGAAAGAGATTGTGAGCGTTTAAAAAAAGTGAGTTCCATGAAAAGGAGCCAGACCGTGCACATCTCTTTCATGATCTTGTAAACCGATCCTGGCCACGCGGTTGGCAGATCGTGTGCGCGAGACAACCCAACTGTTGGGGTGGGCCACTGGGGTACCAGCAGAAGGCAGTACAGCAAGTGGGTTGACCTATTCGAATAGCTGCAATTGAGTGCCTCGTTATCCCCAATCTGGTGTCTTCCCAAGCGCGGACAAAGAAAACTAAACTATATTTATCTTATCAGGTAAGGCCCACCGAGCCATATAGCTCTTTTTTCGGGAAGAGACATGACCTCAACGAAGTGGGTCATCATGTTGGAAATGTATAGCAGCTAAATATTCTAAATGCATGTTTCTAAATGTGGAGGGAACACCCAGAGGACCCGGAGAAAAATCCACGCGACCACGAGGAGACCTGCAAACTCCAAATATACAGGCGTCAGGGTCAGATAGAATCTACGACCTCCCGTGGCACAACATCCGACAAAACATGCATCTCTAGAAAAAACTTGACCGTCAGTTGAGGCATCCTTGCAGAGATGCAATTGCTATTATTAAAATATGCACATTGCAATAAATGAGCAGCTTTGGGCCTGGTGTAAAGATTAAAATGGGGTCCCTTGTCCAATTATTCCCCTCTTCATAGCCCGGGTGCCTGGACCTCGTTGCAATTGTATCGCCTGCACACTCGACAGCTACACCACTGACGGTGTTACCGTGATGCGAGATATTGAATTAACCACGTCAGTCGTCAAGGCCAATTCAGAACTCTTGCTTGGGATGTTTGCCATAGTTGTTTTCAAATGACTGGTAATAGTTGCATTTTAGACCGTAAAATAAATACGTTCCACTCCTATGTCAATCCACTATTGGATGAAGGCCTACCCACGATCACTAGGTCATGATTATTTGGTCTTACTTCCCCACGCTGGCCAGTGTGGATTGGTGGGGGGGGGGGGCCTTGGACCGGTTCAGATATTACTCGCCACTGATGTTAGCCCTAAACGCACTGCACCACCCCAGTTTTATTTGTGACAAGAATCCTAAAGTGCGACAAAAACTCAAGCACTCAGTAGATTATTGTAAACCTACTTGCTGTACTATCTCATGCAAACACCACCTCATTGCTCATTTAGAAGGGTATCTCATCTCTGGAGCCGGTTCACTATTCCAATCACTGCATGATCCACCAATCCCACCTCCGATTCTCAATGAACGAACCGTGCACGAGTCGTCGTTTGAATTCTTAGAAGTTTGTCAATGTTATGTCCACCCTCTCTCGTCTGATACGAAACTCGTCTCATCGGATGCATACACCTCATCTAATCCAATACATTACCCTCATCTCATCGAGAAACCGGATCCAATTCAATACAGAATAATCTCGTACATAAACCTCATCTCATCCAATACACAACTCTCACCTCCAACATACTACAGTACATCCACATCTGTCACATATACACCCTGACCAACTAACCGCACACACCCAGTGCAGTATTTTGTGCCTGTCATTTTGTAAAGATTTCTACAAATCCGGCCTATCCATCTACATCTCAGTCCCCAGCAAGACAGGCATGTGAAGTTGGACTGGACACGTGTCATGCAATAAAAACTCTCTCATTGCATCTGATACAGAACACTGTCTGATAAAAGAAAAAGCTGTCTTGACACATCCCTCGTCTCATTCGGTTGACCCTCATAGCATCCAACCCGTATCTCATCTCAAATACAACCCTCATCTCATCCGACACGGAGCACTCGTTCTCATCCGAAGGATCCCTCGGCTTTTGCGAGATGATACCGAGTGCGCACACACACACACACGAGCACGCCAGCAACCCCAGTGACAATGCTAGCACCCAGACGGCAGCTTCATCAAGTATTAAAATAAAATAAAAATAAATGTCTTTAATACATTATAAAAACGAAACTCAGGACGCGTAAATAATAGCGCGGGTGCGTGCTTTGTTATTGTTGTCATAAAGAAACAGCTTCCTGCGACGGGAGGCTGAGAGTGGGACGGGGGGAAGAGGTCAAGGGTGAAGAGAGAAGTCAAGGGTGAAGAGGGAGGTCAAAGGTGGGGGTCAGACGGCAGTGAAAGTTTTTGTACTCAACTTCCCCCTCCCCGGAAGGCAAAAGTACAGTTGATATATAAAAAAAATGTTTCATCACAAAACTCAAATACAATCATCAATGCACAGCACAGGAAAGACAAAAATACATTAGCTGGTATCTTCTGCCTACTCGGCGCTAATAACATACAGGCTCGTCGACGATACTAGAAATGTAAAAAGTCGTATTATCATTATTACAATATTACTGAAGACAATAATAACGGTACAAAGGCGTACAAACAACTTTACTAACGTATGTGCCTATATATACGTGTGTGCGTGCGCGCGCGTGCTACTCGTACGCAGCCAGGTGGTTCTGACGTCCGCAGCGCCGTCCCCTCTCCTTTCTATAAATCCTCGGCACGGGACGTGCGAAAGTGCCCTCCTCCTCTCCTGCGCGCCTGCACAGTGGCCCAGCGCGTCGCTCGGTCGATCACACAAACGACATCACGATTCAATACAAAACGCCACCAAAACAAAATAAAAAATGTAATGGGGGGGGGGGAACTTGCGCGCTCAGGGAACAGAGAAGGACCTCGACACGGACGGCTGCTTGTCCAAGCCGCCGCCAAGCGTCCTGTGCTGCGCACCCGCACTTCCACACTGCGCTGCGCCGCCGGTCGCTGTCGTCACGGCGGCCGTGCCGTCAGTCGACCGCGCGTCAATCCGCGCGGTCGACTCGGAGGCGACAAGAGGAGCGAACGCGGCCACGCTGAACACGAAGCGCAGGCAGCCCAGCTGCACGTCACTTCCGTGCCTCAGCAGCGCTGTCCCCTCCCAGCCGGCGAGTGCCGGACGGCCGGCGCTCGATGGGCAGCGTTGGACGACGCCGTCGCCACCGCCGCAGGGGTGAGGATGCGAGAGCCGGGGAGAGCAGCCACAAGGATTGGCGGCAGAAGGACGCAAGTCGTCGGCGCTCATGACGCCCAGGTCGGCGGCCTCACTCGTGCGGATCTCGGATGTTGGCTTCTTGTTGTTGCCTGCCGTGGAGAAGTTGCGTGATCGGAAAATGAAGCGATGGGGTGATATGGCGATGGAATGACGGGGTGATGGGATGACGAATTTGAGTGACGGGGGCGGGCATAGGATGTGGTGTTGGGAGTAATTGGATGATTTGAAATTATGTGATGGGGTGAAGGAAGAGGAATGGCAGGTTGATGGGATGTGGCATTGGAGTTATTGGGTGATGGGTGATGGAATGATGGCATGAATTGATGAGATGCGAGATAAAAACGTACATTATTTTCATCGTCATCCTTCATATTTTTCCCAACTCTGCGTACACTGTTAAAGTTCACGTATGTGCGTGTGCGCACGACAAGTATGTATGCGGTACGTGCATGCATACGTGTCATATGTGCATGTGTCCATATGCATGTATATGCGAGTGCGTATGTGTCGACTACTTGCTAACAGTACTTGCCCTGACAGCCTATTGGAGGCTAAATGGGGAATCTTATCTTTGTATGTATATCTGGGGAACGGTAGTGCAGCCATTTGCACACTGCGCCAGGAATCCAGCAAACAGAGTTCGATTCCCGCTCACAACCAACAATGGTGACGATTATATGAACCTGTCCTGGGCGTCCGCGAGGTTGGCTCAGCCTCAAATGAGTACCTGATACGCTATGTATATATCACCACTTGAGAGACAAAAGCGGCCGGGGGTAGTGCTGGCCACTCATCCCCTCGTGTGCCACGTTGGCCTTCATCGGTGCTCGATAACAGCACTTGACCTAAGAATCTGTCAAGGCTATGAAGAGGATATTAAGTCTTTGTGCATGCTGTGTAAACACGTGTGTGTATAAAACACGTGTAAGTGCACGCGTGTTTGAAACCGCACGGTTTGTTACATACGGTGCGAAAGAAGTTCAACATACATACATACATGCGAGTGTGCACGTGCGAATGCATTTGTGCACGGGTGTGCGTGCATGCACGCGGTCTGTGTGACACGCACGGATGATGCTGCGAACTCGCGCCACGAGCGGGCTGGGGGGCAGCGTGGGGGGCCCGCGCGGCTCCATCAGCGAGCAGCCGTAGAGCGCCCCGTCCACACGCGTGCCGTGCTCGCTGTAGTTGAGCAGCTCATACTGGCTCGTGCTCTGCACAACGCGGAAGGCGCACAGCAAATGGGGCATCACAACTGACGGGAGGAACGGACGTCAGTGTCGAGCTTGGCTCCACAACCCTAGGCTAAACTAGTGTTCCCCTCGTTATTTGCGAGAGACATACATTCCGGAGATGCTCGTGAAAAGCACATTTTTTGCAGATAATGACATTGGCCTACAAATATATCGTACGTGCAAAGTCTGCAGATGCTTCAAGCTTCCAAAAGTTATCTATCTCTCTCTCATCCCTTTCTCTCTCGTCTCTTTCACACTCTCTAGATGCAGTCGTCTAGAGCTCCAGATGCGATTCACAGAGCCAAAATCGTGGATAGCAAGTTAAACCTGGCCCTGGATGGTCTCAGCCAGGTCACACCGATAAATACACAAAACAACCACCACGTTAACTTTGGGTCTGTGCTTAAATGTTGCTACATTCCAGCTCTGAGAATGAAAATAGACATTTTTTTGTCATGCGACGAGATTTACTCTCAGTGGCAGGGCGGTTGGGAACATGCTGCCCCCCCTCCCGGCTGTGTGAAACACAGATCACTCGAATCGATCTCAAAAGTAGCGGTGATATCAACTTCTGCGGGCCGATCTCTAACATGGAGAGTTCCGCTTTCATCATGGGTTGATAAAAATGAGTACCGCTATCTTTGACATTACACAAACTGCACCGTGCGTGCTCGTTCGAGTCGGAAATAACGTTTCAACTATTATGTTGAACGATGGGGCTTTTACAGATCAGATCAAGTCCTTCATCTCTAGATCAGTGGTTCTCAACTGGGGGTACGCGGAACCCTGGGGTACGTGGCAATGCCCCAGGGTGTACATGAGGTGATTTATAGAGGTGTGAAATTATATTATACATTAGTCATTGATGAATAAGCATGTATGAATCTTATTCTTAGGTTTTTTCGGTAAAGTCACGTAGGTAAAAAATTAAAATGAATAAAGTAAAATAAAAAAATTTTACCTACGTGACTTTACCGAAAAAACCTAAGAATATGAATCCTTGCAGTCACGAAAGCTTCAAATCTAGAATGTATGAATCTGCCAATATTAAATAACGATAACATTTAAATTCATATGGTACCCTTCAACGATATTAAATACTTTCTAAACTCATTGATCGTAAACAATGTGGTTTTCACGAGTAACCAGCGAGCGCAAACAAATTCCATCGTGCGTGCAGAGCGTCCATTGAATTTTGTTTTATTTCGCTTGCAGTTACTCGCTAGTTAGGATATCTCACGAAATTGACAATTGGTTACGATATTTATGTTCATTATTCATACATTTATTTCTCAGAACCATGTTGGGTCAGGCAAGGGGGGGGGGGGTTATAACTCGGTTGAAACAAGGGTTGGTGTACAGTAGCCAAAACATGTTGAGAACCACTGCTCTGGACGTTATCTGACGCGGCGCGTAACAGATTGAAAAGTCACAAAAAGTTACGATGGCAAAACCGACCTCATCGAAAAAGATGCAGGCGTGCTTTCCGGAAACGTAATTGCAGTGGCCAAACTTGGTCAGGCAGAGATCCATGTCGGCACCTTTGAAAAGAAGAAAATAATAAACAAAATTATTACACCATGAGGCGCTTCGCAGGAACATTGAGTGGTATATCTATTTATTTGAAAAAATAAATGAATGTGATTGTTTAGTTCCGTGTCAGATAAGTGGGCTCAATTTGCCTTGAATGTGTAGCGTGTGTGTGGCCTGTACATACAGGATGTGTTTCAGCTGTACCTCCATTTATCATGGATGGCTACGTAAGGTGCGAAAGAAGTTCAACATATGTGTGCTATGAACATGAGAAGTTGCAGAGCACAGGACCGAAGGCTCAAAAAGTCAAGCGGACAGCAACATGTGTATCTGTGTGTGCTCGTGTGTATTTGAACATGTGTGCTCGATTGTATTTGTGGGTGTGCGCGCGTGCCTGTGCCGATGTACAGGGCCCTGTAGCGCATTCGAACCGGCTCCCCTCGCCCGTCCACGGAGCTCAGCACTGCGCGTGCTCGCACCTCCGTCAACGCCGGTCCTGTGCACGGGGACAACAAAACCACGATGTCCCAAACGCCAACACCACGTGGTTCCAAAAGCCAACACCGCAGTGTCTCAAATGCCAACACCCCGGTGCCTCAAAAGCTAAAACTAACCTCGTGCGCTAACCAAGCGTTCAGCTCAAAGTCAGATACATTAGTAACAGTTAACTGACAAAACACTTCCTTCACACATGTCACTCCACGTTAAAAGATGTTTTTTTTTTGCGATCAGCCGCACGGCCTTCTGGGAGTGGACAATTTGAACTGCATTGGCTCAACAAAAGTAAAACACTGGACTGGTTTCGACATTCAGTGTTAAATCAGCAGTGAGGCTTACTTGAACCAACACTTATAGGCAAAGACTCTGTTAGATATGGAACCTAGTTATTCGCAAAATTATAAAATACATAACACAAAATATAATGCGAGTAACGAATAAGTAATTTACTCTTGATAGACGTTATCGTATCTGCTATGAGGGTGTGGACTTCTTTCTGCTCCATTCATTTCAACTGCTGGTGGCTTCACGACGGAAAGGAACCACATCTTGTTTTCCCTATTTCTACCCAGTTTTAACACTTACAAAAAGTTTATTTTCTTAAACTTTCGATACACAAGTGGTTACCAATCCTCAAACACAATATCAATAGACATCATCATATACTAAAACACCACACCACACTTATAACAGAATGTTAGATTGTATTACTTTTTGATGTTGTGAATGCTTGTGTTTGTATTGTCTTAAAGGACATTCTCGAACGTACTTAATTAAACCACTTATAAGTAGGTCAATAGAGGCTGTCCTGTTAAGACGCTGCCCTGCAGCAGGAATGTGTCATTGCCACCTACGCGCTGAAGGCTGCCAAAGAGGAGGAGGAGGCCTGCCCAATGTTCATTTTAGCGCGGAGACCCTTCCACCCTTGACATCATGGTAGACATCTCCGTGAACGTAGATCCCCCATTATCGTAAAGCAGATTCCCGGCCACGTCTTTGGCATCCTCCCACCTGCAGCTTCTGCTTCCGGGGCGGCAATCCTCGCAGTTGGCGCGGGTAGTGCCGGGGTCTTGAATAGGAGGCTCGGCGCGGGCTTGAGATCGTCCGACGCCCGGGGGATGGCGGGGACAGTGGCGGTAGCAACGGCGGCGGTGGTCATGACAGGCGGCGTGGGGCGACCGCTCAGAATCTGCTGTATCCTCTGCCAGGCAAGCACCCTCACCAGCCGCTCATCCAGGTCCGGCAAGTGGGGTCCTGGGCGAGGCAAAAGGCTCGGTTGCTATCGGCAGATGGCGCGGTTCAATACGGCTACGTTAACACACAACAAATACGCTACCCATGAACAGCGGATGATAAAGAGCCCGTGATGTTCTTCTAAAAAAAGAACAGGCCACGTGTGCTGGCATCACGTTCCAAATTACTCACAAATTACATAATTGGGTAAAACCAAATAGTGGCATCACCTCCCACCGGCAGACTGTACTCGTCCGTCTTCTTTCGTAGGCTGGTCAAGCCAGATAACCACGTCAGGGGTAGTGGAGTGTATCGCTGTGAGGTCTCCTTGTTTGTGGATCGGGCATTTATCATTATATGTTGTACTAGCGCAGGGGTCGGCAACCTACGGCTCCGGAGCCGCATGCGGCTCTTTACGGGCTGCTTCTTGACGATATGTACGTATGTACAGTATGTACTCAGATGCATTGCGGCTCTTGAAATACTGAATTTTGTACCGAATTGGAAAGAAATGGCTCTTCTTGTTATTTTGGTTGCCGACCCCTGTACTAGCGGGAAGTACCCGGTGTTGCCCAGGAGAAAAATATATTTCAAAACTTCTCTTAAAAACACAACATATACATACACAGGTACTAAGCTATTGTGAAAGCCCGGCGTTCCGTTTGTCCATTTGTCTGTCAACAAAATTATAAGAGGGTTGCAGAAGTCCAAAAAGTTATAGGAAGTGGCGGGTAAATCGTTTATCTAAAAGGTTTCCAAAAATTGTCAACCCCCAGCCTCCTGAAAAAATATTTGTATCCCCGCATTAGGCATATATACCTACATACCCTACATACAATAGAGTGAGGAGTATCTGCTGACTCTATAGTATTTCGATTTAAAGTTTTCGTGACTACAGGGATTCATCTTCTTGGTTCTTTCGGTAAGGTCACGTAGAAGGGAAATAATAAAATAATACAAATTTAACATAATAAAATAACATTTTATCAAAATAAAACATAATAAAATTCAATACATTTTTAATGTTGTATTGTATTTATTTTATTATTTCCCTTTTACGTGACTTTACCGAAAGAACCAAGAACATGACTCTCCAGTAGTATTCACTGACTATAGCAGTATCTGCAGACTCTATAGCAGTATCTGACTCTATAGTCATTACTACCGACTCTGCAGCAGTATATACTGACTGTAGTGGAATCTATTGACTATAGTAGTATCTACCGACCCTACGGTAGTATCTATAGTAGTAACTACTGACTTTATAGAAGTATCCGCTGACTATAGTAGTAACTACTAACATTACAGTAGTATCTACTAACTCTACAGTAGTATCTACTGACTCAATAGTAGTATCTACCGACTGTAGAAGTAGCTACTGACTGTAGCAGTATTTACTGACCATAGTGGTATCTACTGACTGCAGTAGTAACTACTGACTCTACAGTAGTAAATACTGACTCTACAGTAGTAAATACTGACTCTACAGTAGTATCTAATGATTATTGTTGTATCTACTGAGTCTAAAGTCGTATTTACTCACTGTAGTAGTATCTACTGGCTCTATAGTAGTATCTACTGACTGTACAGTAGTAACTACTGACTGTAGCAGTATTTACTGACCCTAGTGGTATCTAATGACTGCAGTAGCATCTACCGACTCTATAGTAGTAACTACTGACGATAGTAGTATCCACTGACTCTAGTAGTAACTACTATAGTCAAAATAGACAAAATACACGATGACAAGAGACCACCACAACTACCACCACCGCGTGGTGGTAATGGTGGTGTCAGACTGTTGTTAGTTCGTAGCGAGCAGCAGCACCTATAAAGTATGAACACACACAGACGGACACCACACACACAGACGGACACCACACACACAGACAACAACCGCCATTCGCAATTAAGTGGCGGTGACGTCACCACGACGCTAGTGCCAGGCTATGTGCACCTTGAGGCCACGTGAAGTGTCGAACGCCCGCTGGCAGGAGGTCACCGGGCAGACCCAGATGCCACAGGTCGACTGACTGAGACGACTGGCTGATGCACCACCTGTGCAGCCTACTGTGCCAACTTGCTGTGCTTTAGCCACCCGGCGCTCCGCTCGTTGTTGTAAGCGTCGCTCCTCCGCCCTCCGTTGTTGTTGGAGAGTGACTGCCTCCAACTGCCCAGTAGCGTCCTTCACGAGCCTCCTCCACAGAGGCCGATCTTGACACCGCTGGTACCAGTCATTGGCAAGTCCACTCAGCTCCACATCCTCCTGTACCACATCACTCCATCTCTTCTCTAGCCCGTGCCGCGCCCGTTTAGCCCCCTCGATCCGGCTGAACAAAAGCTGTTTAGGCATGCGGTGGCTGGGCATGTGGGCTACATGGCCCAGCCAACGCAGCCTTGCCTGCCGGAGGAGCTCACCGATGGGACTTTGTCCAGATCTTTCAAGGATTTGTGAGCTCCTCACACAATCCAGGCTGGTTAAACCCAGGATGGATCGTAGGCAGACAAGTCTAAATGTTTCTAACCGGCGAAGATGTTCCATTAGGGGGGTCCACGTTTCGCAAGCGTAGAGAAGCGAGGGAATGACAGTGGCCGAGAAGACCTGAAGCTTCGTGCGGAGCGACAGACCAGGTAGCTTCCACACAGCGTTACGCAACCGATGAAAAGATAATGCCGCTCGACTGATTCGGAGTGAGACATCTGCTGTTAAACCGCAGCCGGTCATGAACACACTGCCCAGGTATAGGAAACTCTCCACTCTCTCCACAACTGCCCTACAGACACACACACACCACACAGACACTGCACACAGATGTGGTGAGGCCGAGTCCCGTGCAGAGCCCCCGGCCTCGCCTAGGTTGCCCAGCCGGCCGAGGTGGCACCTTGGCAGGCTGCATTGCTAGGGGCAACCACGGCTCTGCTTTGTCGCGCATGCGCAGATGAGTGCTTTGGCACGCGCTCAGCGGAGTAATATAATAACAAAAGGGAATACATTGTTAATTTAGCAACTTTAAAGTTGACAGACGCGAAATTCGAATAGCGCTGGCTCACCACGGGGCTTATCGCGTGGTACCTGGGTACTTTTTTTTAAACGAAAACCCCACGGTTCGCGAGTTAAATCCGTCGCAAGTTTCATCCACAGACAGACAAAAAATGACATATAGGTAAGATGGTCTGTTCTGGATGACCACAGGTCCCTCACTGGAGAGTTTTAAGTTTCCATTCGTGCAACATAGCAAATTTACAATATTCTTGCACCATAAGAATGGCACAAATACCAAATTAACGGATTTATACGAGGTTTTAGTTATGGCTAGGTTTAGAGAGTGTTAATATTTGTGGGTTTAGTTGTAGGAGATAGCAGGGGTTGGGGTTCACGTTTGAGTCAGCGTTGGCGTACCTGTCTTGCCGTCCATAAGTGCCAACAGCGACGCGTTGAGGTGGCAAAGGGCGGCCGCTGTCGCCGTCAGCGCTGTCGTGGCTGCATCGCCACTCCCCGTCGGGTCCCCAAGTGGCCCAGTCCCTCCTGGGGCTCCCGGTTCCACCTTGGGTCCGTCGGGTAGGAGAGTGCGCCGGTCACCCTTCTCCCCCACCAGCACTACTGTCGTCGCGCTACCGTACCGTGCTTGCGGCGCATGCGCTGCATGCGCAAGGTGATTCACAACACCGCAGCCACCCTCCTCCCCTAGGCCACATGCCTTCGTTTGGCCGGCCAGGACTCCATGCTGTGCCAAATCCGACGACTCGCAACACGAGTCCATAGCATCCAGTTCGGCCACGTCACAACCAGCGCCGCCGCCACCGCTATCCTTGCTGCCCAGCGAAGGTCCATTGGACCTCGAGGGACTGTGGCCCTGCTCTGCCTCTCCCTTCACCTTCATGTCGCTAGAAATAAGTGGAGGGAGTTTCACGTCCGTGACCGAAGGCGGCAATGATGAGGATGACGTTGACGACGACAACGTTGCCGGCGCCACTCTGCTCCGAAGGGGGGCGGCCACGTGGAGGCGAGGGAGGGCCGGGTCAGAGGTCGCGAGCTTCGACAACCCCTCACTCGGGCCGCACGCCGAACGGGGTACGGCTGAGGGCGCTTGCTTCACGGCGAGGTGCCGCGCTATGCTTGACTGCAGCGCCAGCACGTTCCGCAGCCACTGCACGCGGTCGGCACAAGCGCACACAATGAGAACATCCACACTGACTTTTTGTATTGAGAGTCAAGTGGTTCCCCAGGTGAGTGGAGGTGCCCTTCCCAGGTGGCTAGAGGTGAACCTGTATTCGCGATGTGCAGTAAAAAGTCAAGCCTACGTCAGCAGAAAGCAGAGATTCCTTTACCCAGTGGTCAGGGGTGTGATTCACTTGGTCGAGCTGCCATTTATGCCTGTGGTGAAAGGTAGGTCTTCAAATATTTGCCACTCCTTCAGCAAGGCCAAGATTCAATTAATGGATTAATCTTTGTCTTCCTTATACTACTCTATATTGCGTGTCTTGTATGTAACGTAATGTCTCATTTGTATTGTCCGTCTCGTTTGTTTAGCGTCTCGTAAGATCGAATTTCACTTGTATTGTTTATCTTGTTTGTACTGTCCACCAAGTATGTTATGTCCATCTTGGATGCAATGTCTATTTTTTTGTATTGTTAGGCTCGTTTCGTTCATCTCACTCGCATTGTTTGTCTGATTTGTATCATCCAATCCAGTCTCATTTGTATTTCTTGTAAAAAAAAATTCATGAATCATGACCACTTCATTTTGCATTTTTGATAACCGAATCTTACACACGTTATTTGGTGCATTAACTACAGGCAAAATAATTTAATTTAAATCAATGAAACAAGTCTCATAAGTGAATAAAAAATCGTAGTACGACTGATCGGCAGAAATTGCCCATCCAAAAAAGTAAATCGCACACAAAGTATTAAATGTAAGACAGCCACTTCCATGGGTGACTTCATACATCAGAGGACACGTGACTTTACCTAAAGACCCACAGAGAAAGAATAATTGAGAACCCTCGTAATCCCGGGTTCAATCACAACCACTTGGGAAGCCTAATAAACACAGAAACCCAGCGTACAGCCTCTATCAACTATTGGGGCAAGGGTTGTGAGCAAGCACCTATCAAGGCTGCAATGGCACACGAGGGGTTGATGGCCAGGCTTCACAGCACAGTACATGAAGACGGGAAATGCATCGCGCGCCCATTCAGATGCGCTTCTGCGGCTGTCTGGAAAGCCACTGGAGCGATGCACTTTTAAATCATATAGAATTAAATCCCATTTTTTTTAAACTCCTTTTTGTGTTTAGTTTATTGTCCTTCCCCCGCACCTCCGATGAGCATGGTTAGCTATGTATGGTGCGAAAGAAGTTCAACATACATACAAGCACTACAAAGACCCCCCTCTTATAGCCTTGACAAGACTGTTGGGGCAAGTCCTGTTAGTGAGCACCTATGAAGGCCGACACGGGACACGATAGGGGTGGGTGGTCAACACCACATCGCACTGACCTAGAAGAGGCCCAGGACCGGCTCAGATAATCGTCACTAGTGGGCAGGAATCGAATCCGGGTCGCCGGGTCTGTCGCGCATCAGCGCTAACCGCTACACTGCCACTCCCCACAACAACCACTACACCGCCCTCTATCACACACACACACAAGTATGCACAATTCTGGTGCCTGTTGGTAGCATTGCTTGGTACACACGAAGGCAATTGTGCTCAATTGACCATTACAACCGAGAGAGAACTCACCTCCTCCTGCTCGCGGTCAGCCGCGAGGCGAGGCCCGGCGCTGGGCGGCTCCGGCTCCGTGCACACGAGCTGGCACTGCCGCACGCCCGCGGGCGGCCCCAGCGGAGGGCGATGCTCGTAATGAGCCTTGATGGCAGCCGGAACCTTGGGTCGGGGGTCAAGGATCAGGTGTCATGTCAGGCCAGAGGGCAACAGCGGGAGATGATAGGAGGTGGCTTGCGTGCCGGGTTGTCGGCATCGCAAAGTTTTTTTTATGGTACCATTACAGAAAAACTGCATGTCTGGATAAGCCACGCAGTGTCTGTGAAATACCATTTGCACCAGCCAAGCTGACCTGGCAATATTCAGGCAAGGCTGCGCTTTGGGTGTAATTTTGAATCGCAACCACCTGACCGGACAAAATAGGAACACACTTGAACAACCACATGTACATGTACAGCCCTTTTGACCATCCACTGCTGGATGAGAGACTTTCCCCACGACCAGCACTGATCATTGCGGATGGTGAAGGCGGGGAGCGCAGGTGTGCCACCGGAGAAATAAAGTACAACAAAGGATTTTTCTATACTACCCTCTGCTGCCATCAACGTAACCCTGCAGCAGACGATAACACGCATTGTATGCATGGTGGTTGCTCATCCAGGTACCACTGAGGCTCAACCTCGTTGAACTTCCAAAATATGTCGAGGTTGGACGCGTTCGGATTATCTCGTCGAAGACTGGCGAACACAAACAGCGACGATGCCATAATTTCAAACCAAAAAGCAACGCAATATGTAGTAGTGGCCAGGTCAATACGGCGAGCACGATCAATGTCGTCACACCAACCTTGAGGGCCTTGCGGGCGAGCGTGGAGGCGGTCGTGGCGGTGGTGGAAGCGGGGGAGCGGTTGGGTGGGCGCTTGCGGTGCACGCGGCGCAGGAAACCCAGGGAGACCGTGTGCTGCTGCACGGGGCCCTGAAACCGCGAGAAGAGCTGGCAGCGCCCACTCAGGGGCAACGCCACCCCGCTCAGCTACAGCGAGCGAGGGCAGTGGAAAAGGAGAAAGAGCAAGAGGTGGTCAGTTGTGAGTGCACACCAGCACAAGTGTGTACAAGGGTGCATGACTGTGAGCGTGTGTGCAGGGGAATATGTATAAATGTGCGGGAGTGCACATACGAACGTTTGTGTGCGCATGCGTGCAAGCGTGTGTGTACGAATGAATCTGTACAAGTGTGAGCGCTTAACAGCGTGTATGCTCGTGTCTGCGCGAGAGCAAGTGTTCTTGTGTGACCGTGTGTGAATATACACTTGTGCGTGTGTGTGTGTGTACGCGTGGCGTACCGGCCGGCTCTCGGGGTGGTTGGGACACATCCACCGTCCCGTGGGCATCGAGGTGAGTGGCGGGTCGAGGCAGTCTTGGTGGAAGAGCAGCGCGCAGTAGTCGCACTGCACTAGCGGAGCCACCCGGCAGCTCCTGCCAACAGCAAATGGCATCAGCGGGGACAGAAGCCAAAGTGAGAGAAACGAATGGAGGTTTAAAAACGTCAACACTGTCACCCCGTCCCTGTCATGAGTTGTCAATCTGGTTGGTATTTTCTTATTAATCCGTCTGGCGTGAGGCGAATGTTGCGTCTCATTTGCAACGTCCGCCTCGTTTACAACGTCCATTTATCTTTTACCGTGCGTCTTGCCTAGATTATCCGTCCCATTCATAATGTCTCGCACAAATCAGTCCTCTTTGAACTTTGTTCCGTGCAATTTGCACGAACACGAATAATCATTTGCGACACGTGAGATTTGATACGCGGCCCGCGAGCGTAACAATCGATCCGACTCTCTAGACTCGGCGGATCCTTGCGACGCCCACGGGTCGACGGCGTGCTCAAGGTGAGGCACCACGCTCACCTGCTGCACAGGTAGCAGAGTCGCGCCGGCAGAGGCACCAGACCGTGGGTGTCCAGCTCGTGTGGCGACCGCCGTGCGTGCTTCCCGCCCGCTTCCTCCTTTCGACGCTTCTTACTCGTCCCTTTCACACACACACACAGAGCCTTAAAGACCAAGCACCAAGTTGTGTTCGCGAGCACGAGGAGGTTGATGCTGGTTGTGGTAAAGGTAGTTATGGCGATAATGAGTGGTGGTTGCAATTATGGTGACCATGATAGTGATGGCAGTTGTGCTAGTGAATGTGGTGGTGCTCATGGTGGCTGTGACGAAGGCGATAGTGATTGTATGTTGAACTTCGTTGGCACCTTACGCAGCCAACCGTGCTAATCGGAGGTGTGGGGGGGGAGGACAACAAACTAAACACAAAAAGCAGTTCTAAAGAAATAAATTAGTTTTCAATCTAGATTTAAAAGTTGTGATGACAGTAGTGAGGAGGATGGTTCTGGTGGTAAGGTCATGGCACCAGGGCCCATCGCAACCGCACACCCTCAGTGTTCACTCACCAGGCAAGGGCGTGCTGCAAGTGAGCTCGTACGGCAACTGGAACTGCGTCGGGTTCCTCTCCGTGGCGGCCACCACCAGCATCTCAAACGGGTTCCTCTGCCTCGTCACCGTCATTACCACCGCCGGCGTCGTCACGGCCGTTGTCACAGCCGACGCGGCGGCAGCGGCGGAGAGGGGTGGCGCCGCGGTCGCGGCCATCCCCCTGCTCGACGTGACGCCGCTCATCCTGGTTCCATCCTCATCCTGCTGTCCCATCAGCATCGTCGTCGTCCCACCGTTTCCGTCGTCTCCGCTACCCTCGTCTCCCGCGATCGAGTCCCCGTCGTCCACCTCCACCGTCGTGGGCGTGCTGCTGCCCGACTTGGACGTCGCTGGGGTCAGGGGTCGGGCTGCAGCTGAAGTCGCCGGGGCCACAGAAACCATCGGGGCAGCCACAGCTCCAGTTGCCCCATCCCGCGCCTCCGAAGGCCCCGCGATGGGCGGCGACGACGCTCCTGTCGCCGAGATAGCGGCAAAGTCATCGCCGTCCTGCGAGTTTGCTCGGAGACCCGGCTTGGCCGTGCAGTTAGAGCCCTCCCGCTTGCTGTCGACGCAGACAGCCACCCTGTGGCCGCCAGCTTCGGTGACAGAGGAGGAAGGCCCGCCAGGCTTATGCTGCTCGCAGAGCGGCCGCGACACGGCGGCGAAGGCGGCGGAGATGGCGACGGCAGTGGTGGTGGGAGCGGCATAGGTTTCCCACTTGGGCATGGCGGTGGTGGTGGCTACCGCCGTCGCGCGCGCCGAGTGGAGAGCCTGCAGCTTAACGTTCTCGAGCTCGGCGTCGACGGGCGTGAGCAGCACGGAGGGGCGCTTGCTGCAGTGCTTTTCCAGGAGGCCGTTGATGAGCCAGCTCTTGCCGCCCGGTTTAAACTTGCCCTCCTTCTTCTGCAGGCAGGGGTGATGGCAACGGGGTGTGAAACAGATGCTGCTTCAGAATAAATTAATGATTACGTATGTTTGCCAAGGAAAGCCTCACCAAGTCTCAAGGCATATTTTCAGGAGGGTCCTGCCAGGTTTTAACAGTCGGGTGTGATGTTGCTGTGTAAAGCCAGGTAATTTTTCAGCATAGGGATATTTTACATTTATTTAGTTACAATAATAAAGCTTAATAATTTTTCACATTGATATTGAACCAATGGTTAACAATCGAACAAAGACGATCACTGCTTTGCGCGCTTTCAGATGGGCTTATGTGGCCGTCTGATATGCTCTTCCTTCTGATATTAGGAAGCTACTGGAGCTATATACAGAGTCCCCGAGTTACGATGGTCCGACTTACGATATTTCGATCTTACGATGGCGATACGACAAAATTGTAAAATATTTTAAATTTTGCGCGGCAGTCAAACGCAGCAGCGTACAAGGTACGATACTGTACGTTGGGACGCTGCCGGGATGTACGCATCTCCCGCCTTGCGTGATGCCTCACTCTCACCAGCGGTCGACGGAGTTAAATTGCCTCAGTGTTTAATGCATGTTAAAAGTTTTTATAGCAGACAGGATTGTTTCCTGAAAAAACTTTCTATTAAATTGCAGTTCATATAGGTAGGCTAAGAATTTACCTTGTATTTTTTACTTTACATGATACTGTGCAATACAGTATTGTAATTAATAAATACATAGTGTACAGTTTATACAGTACGGTACTGTAAATTGCTCTGTTTTGCTAAATTATCACCATTCTTTAAGACTCCTGGGTAGGCTAGGCCATCTTCGACTTACGATATTTTTGACTTACGATGGGGTCGTCGTAACGCGTCTCCATCGTAAGTAGAGGACTATCTGTACTTTTAGATCTAAATTGCAATCTCATTTCTTTAGAGCTGCTTTTTGTGTTTAGTTTGTTGTCATCCTCATGCACCTCTGATTAGCATGGTTGGCTACATACGGTGGGAAGAAGTTCAATATACATACAATTAATTAATTAGTGTTAATACACGTGGTAGGAAACCACGAAGGGTTGCTCTGCTCTGCGAAGGTTCCGAACCAATCGTTTGGTCTCATGACATAATGCTAACAGAACGATCGGGGTGAAATTGGTGAAAAACACCAAGCATTTTATTTTTAAGCAGTAAAGGTGGACATGTTGATGGTGTCTTACCGTTCTCCTCATGGTGCAGCGGTGGCACATCCACTCTCCAGACGGCAGCATCTCGGCACTGAGCGGTGGGTCACTGAGAGGACCCAGAAGAGGGAGCGAGGAGGGTGGGGGCTAGGTTAGTAACCACACCGCGTGCTTCTACACTCGCCCGCACCAGAGTCCCGTATCGGTCGGATAACCGCAGTCACCCACACCCGGATCAGTTTATGGTCGGAATAAAGACGTTTTTACGGCTTGCGATTCGGGTAATGTGCATCTTATATCACCCATGGGTGACCGACGATAAACTACTACAAGTTGATTTTTATTTCAAATGTGCCATACACGACACTGCGAGAATAAGACAGAATCTAAACAAAGATGGAAAATATTGAAAAAAAAAAGAGGTGCGGGTTTGGATTGGGATGCGGGTGAAATGAAAGCGGATCAGATCGGGTCGGGGAAAAGATGGCAGTGTTGAAGTGGGTTGTGGTTTCGGGTCGAGCTGTAGGTCCAGGTCAGCATTCAATAATTAGACCCAAGCAGGACTCTCGTGCAAACTTCTTACCACAGCTCATCTATGGAGCAGCTGGTTACCCAAGTGCAGCAGTGCTTCATTTGTCACCAAAAACTTTCCGGGTAACTGAATTCCAGGCAGTGTCAGGCAACTATGAGCTACAGCCATAATGAGAGGGAAACTAGATGTGGTGCACCAGGTGAGGAAATATGTTCTTGGTCGCTGACCTGAAGGGACTCAAATTAATTAAATCTGGTGCACAAGCAAAGCACAAGATGCACAATGAAATTTCATAGAATTTCACGGGGTTTTATTTCTGGGTCAAGCTGTCCATCCGGTTAAAACTCACAGATGGTTGCCAATTTCCATCAGCAAATAATTCGGGATTGTCAAAACATTTCGTTTAAGCTAGAGTAGCCACATGCAACAGCTAAGCATAAGGGACGTAACATCCTGTGACATGACTTCCTGTTAAAACTCTCAGGGTCCCAGGAACAGGACAAAGAGAATGCGACATCAGAGTGCACATTCATTGCCAAACGGTTCGCCGAGAATACAAGACTTTATTCTGTTGTCGTTAAAGATGGAGCAATTGTTTTGGCAACAATCATCTCTTGTAGATATCACTTAAGTGTTAACCAGGCTTAAAAGGAAACAGCAGAGCGTTTTACCACAATCACGTGCCCTTCATACGTCGTAAAATTAGGATGCGCTCCAGTTTCCTAACTAGCAGTGCCCTTTCCTCAAAACCTTGAGTTATAATCAAATAAAAACAACCTATTTCTGTGTTGGAAGACGCATAGGTCAACTCGTCCACTGGCAAAGACCCATAACTAGAAAGAAGTACCAAATGTTCAGGTAAACGTAATTAATGAGGGATTGTTTTCGTTCAGTCTGCAAGGCTGCCACAGGAATTGATCTCAACAATGCCTTAATTCGTTCCTTCGTGCAACCAGAACCTTGCTCCAAGGATTTTAGGCGAAATTGTAAATGCAAGGAAGATGCACGACAAAAGAAAACATAAGGTGCCCTTCACAGCCGTTAACGACATGTACAAATCAGTATTTGTGTAGACGTCATGCCGAAAATATGGACTTATAAAGAAAGCTTAATAAGCCAATAAATATACCGGTACTTAAGACTCTTATACTAAGGAAATAAAAATGTAAAAGAGCAGTACCACTTTGAAGAAGGCCAACGGTGTCTGCATTATGGAGAGACTGCCTCCTGCCATAACAATGAGGAATTTCCACCAACGGTTCATGTCCACTAATGGAGATTTGCACCGCTAAATGCGGGTTTGAGCTGCAGACTGTATGACACGACTATTTCCTGCGCTGGATTTCCGTGTGTTTATTTTATCTCATTGTTACCCTCGCGGTGAACCGGTGCCACAGTAGTCGGGTGCGTGGGGGTGGTGGAGGAGGGGGAGGGTCAGTGGTGAGTGCCGAGCGAGTGGCGAATGTCTGATGCGAGTTCGGGCGAGCGGTACGCGAGCTTCTCATCACATCGGCCATAGCCGTACGACTGCCCCAAATCTGTATTTTAAAAAGGCCACGGTCCTTTAAATCGCACCGTATTCTCTGGAATAGAAGATGCTCTGGAAAGTAAGATGCGCCCCCTAACCAACGAGTATTTTTATTTTAAAGGGTGTTTTAAAAGTCGGCAGATTACCATATCACAGAGCCATATTGCTGCTTAAAAACGGGGAGGTGCATCTTCTGGAAGATGATTCTGGTATAATTAGTTTAAAACATGTTTTCCAGAGAGAAACTGCATTGCTATGGAAAACCATCTTCCGTAAAAAAATATTCTGAAGTACATTAAAGCACATCATCCGTATGGCAATGTATGTTTTTGATTAGAAGACACTCCCAAATGTACAGGGGGAAAAATGCACCGTATAATCTGAAGAATTTGGTAATTGTCATCGTCAGACTTTGAGGTCAGACTGCAAAACTTGCCAAGCCGTCGAACGGATGCTCTGCGGGGTTTGAGACTCGTGCCAAAAAGAAAGAAACAAACGAATAGATCCTGCGTCAGGTGGGAGAAGAGCGTGGACTCATTCCATCTATCAAGAAGAACATCTGGATTGGGCAGGAAATAGAGGGAACAGCTCGCTCCGATTAGCAAGGTTGGTTACGTACAGTGCGAAAGAAGTTCAACAAACAGATAGGGTAGGTGGTAGAGAAGTGGAATGAGCTGAATAACGTGATCGAGGGAAGATTCTTTAGCAAAAGACAAAAGGGTGGGATAACAACGGCGATGCTAGAAAATGTGTTCAGCACAGGAAGCACGTAGGGACAGAGGAAGAGAGCAGCGGCACAGCAGCAGTGTCGCCTCGGACCCATTTACAGACCGAACACCGAGTGAACTAACATGCCCGGGGAGGGGCGGGGGCAAGTGAAGTACGCAGCAGAGGTGCGCGCTCACCAGCACTGCAGGTGGAACGATGCGGGGCAGTGGTCGCAGCACAGGAGGTCTCCGCCCTCGCGGCAGCTGTCGCAGGTGTCATGGTTGTTGGCACGGCCGGTGCGTCGCGCCGCCTCGCGCTCGTGCCTGCGTGAGGCGGCGAGCGAGGCGGCGCTCACGCCGCCCCCGCCGTGCTCTTCGTCGCTCTTAGGAGGTGCCACCAGCGCTTGGATTTGCTGCTCGGATGCGGGAGAGAAGCGGTGGTTAGGGAGAAGAAGACACAGATGGGGCGGTGAAGACAAGTGCAAGGGTAACAAAGACAAAGATCGCCCGTATAGCCTCCAACAGACTTTCGGGGCAAGTGCTGTTAAGCGAGCACCTATGAAGGCCGGAACGGTTCACGAGGGATTGAGTGGGCAGCACCACGCCCGGCCACCTTTGTCTCTCCAGTGGCAATGTTTACATACCGCACTAGGTACTCCTTTGAGGCCGAGTCAACCTAAAGGAGGCCCATGACCATTCAGATAATTGTCACTGGAGTTAACCCGTGAGCGGGAATCAAACTCGAGTCGCCGGGTTCGCAGTGCAGCGCACACTAACCATTGTACTACCGCTCCCAGCACCACACACAATCGAGCTGGGATGATTAGGTCTTTAAATTTACATAAATCGGGAATCGAAAACAATATTGACTATGGAGTGGAGAGCAAGAGGAGACAACGGAAGCAGAGGAAAACAGCGGCAGAGATGGCAGCGAGATGAAATTAAAGAATTTGGAGGCCACTGCTGAACAATTGAACCTTATGGCGGTACTCCGGGGTACCATAGTACCCCGGCTCTCGCATGTCCGTGATGCAGTCAGTTTTAGTCTGTTGATGGTCGGCGATGTGGAAATCGACTCATCTCGACGAGCTGTACACGATGCACTATGGTACGTACGAGCGTTCAGGGTTTCAGTGCAATCGTCCTCGCTGCGTTTCGACATCGTGGAGTGGCACCGATTTCGGATTGATTGATACCCCAGTCGTGGAGTTAAGGACACCCCTGGAGAAAATAGTGTCCCAGAAATAAAATATTTAATTGCCTCGGCCATTTTGTATTATTTGGTACCCCGGGATACCGCCGTAAGGATCAATTGGACAGCCCAGCTCTTACACACAACATTGGCGGTCGTGGTGGCCAGGTGGCTCAAGAGGTCAAATCGCTGAGCTGACACCGGTGAAGCTTGGTGAAATTAACTACCATTACTCGCAGTGTGGTGTGGCCCTAATCTAGCAATGGATTAACTACAAGCTGTGTGTACATGTGTATGATCCTGCATGTCAAAAGTGGATTTTTTCATAAATCAATCTTTTAAAGTGAGGTGGATGGCAATGGGTTCAATTTGATAATGCATTTATAAATTCGGGAATGCCTCCCCAAGTCTCAAGACTTTTTTTTCAGGGGGAACCTATTGGGATGTTTGGCTGATTTCATTCGTGTTTTGCATGCGCATGATGGTATAAATCTTGTGACCAGAGCACATTTCTGGGCCACGGCTGTGGCGAATGATATCTGAACCTATCCAAGGTGCCCCTTCACCAACCCGCACGGACCAGTGTGGCGATACATGATCAACAACCTCCCATGGACCAACAATAGTGTGGAGAGACTTATCCAGCAAAGAATTGACGAAAGGCTATATCTTCACACTTTATTTTGCATGTAGGACGAAACTAGAGATTCCCAAGGAAACCCACACATATGAGGGGATGACGCTCAATGCTTCATGCCTCTAACTCGCGAATAGCTCTGCTTGTGATGTCACAGCTCCACTAAAAAATTAGCAAGGACAGACTGGCATGCGATCGATCAGCTTGGCTATGGTCCGGCAGAGATTTCACAAAGTCGTGCAAACAATGTAAAAGAGAGAGAGAAAAGGCAACCAAGCAAGTGTGACAGATTGTGCAACATGGACCGACAGTCAAAAGCTCTGGCAGAGGACCAACCAAAAAAAATCCTGCATTCGCAGACACCATTGGGTGCGGGTTCTCATTCCATCTTTATGCCAAAGTGGTCGAGAACTGGATTAAAACCTCTGCTATTGCATTGAAACTGTTACAAAAGTGGTGTAGCCCTAACATGAATCTACAGGGGTTTTTTTAGTTAGATAATGTAAATATAAATGTGTCGTTAAAACTCGCCCACGCACCCACAACGCACTCATTACCAAGCTTGCATGTGGATGAAGGCTATCACACCTCTTGGAAGCAAGGAAAGTTGCCCTTATATCAAAGAAGTGCTTGTGTCAGAAGTAACCATTTGCCCTCCCAAACTCCACCAGTGTTGTTGGAAGGACATGTTGCTTATACGAGTGCTATACTTATATAAAGGTATGATTATATCCATCTTCTACGGTGTTTATGAAGTCATGGTTTACAAGGGACAAAACTACAGGCAACTGAATAAGTAACGGTCCACGTATCTATACAAGGACCTTGTCCAGCCAATCTTAATAATAAATCACAGCGTGAGATCATTACTATTCAAGTTCCAGGATTCTTTATTTAGTTTTCGAACAATCGTGGGATCCAGCTGAAGGAGGGGAGCGACGACGGCGTGTGCCATCAATGGAAATAGTTTCGAAGCCCCTTTTGAACGTAAACTATCGAGCAGGTGTCAAATTCTGCCAGCTGCATATAGCGTTCCACTACGCTGCATTGAGTTATGATATGACATGACATTAAGATTAAGGAGGTGGAATGCTGCCCTGGTGTAATACTAAACTATTCACTATTTTTAATCATTAGAACACTGAACTTGAAAACCAATTGCCAATTCAAATCAATCTCCTGGCGTAACAGTTGAAAAAATGGTGCAAGTCTTTTAAATCCTCCGTACAACTTCTGTCCATCCACCAGCATAAATTACCTTGCCTGGTATACAGGAGACGTGGGTTCGATCCAGACCCTGAGGCCTGCTGTATACTTGGAGTTTGCGGTGTCTCTCTCCCAGTGGTCGTGTGGATTTTTCTCCGGGTCCTGCGGTTTTTCCCTCCACATTTAGAATCAACGTGTTCAGAGTATTTGGCTGCTATAGATTTCAAGTGCTAAGCAACTTCATCGAGCTATCATTTGTGGCCAGGTCGCTGTACAACTCAGTGGGCCTTACTTGGTAAAATTAAAATAGTTTAAATAACTTTTAGTTTTAGGTAACTTGCGGTCAGGTGAAATGCAAGAACTCCCACCTCATCCAAGATGTCTGGCCAGTTCGAGCTCACTCTAGTGCAGGTCATTCCACCAGCAGTGGCACAGGTAAAACACACTGCAGGGCTGAACCTATACATTTGCCCTTTTAAGATGAATTAAGGGTTAGGACCAGTTTGTTGTTAGAACTTATCCTTCGACTGCAGAGCTCGTTGTGCGGTGGCAGCAGCAGCCGGAACCCAATACAGCTGGATGACGATGCTGTGGTTAGAGCTAGGGTTTCTGTGCTTTGATGAGAACTGTGATATACTGCACAATATAACGGTCCACAATAATTAGATCGTCTATTTTGTAAAATCGTGATATCCTTATTTGTTTAGTTTGTTTTATCTCTTCTGTTGTGACAAATTACGTGAATTAAGAACAACCACATTCATTAATGTTCTAAATAATTGTATAACCCATCAAACATTAAAGTTTGTTCTACATAACTTCAGTAACCCTATTATATTATGGTACTACAGGCTAAATGTATGCCTACACTATGGTAGTATTACTTTCCTAATATTTGTATTGCAAAACTGTAAACAATGTGTGTTATAAGCATTGTATATCGTAAAAGGTTGCAATGACTCATGGCAGACACATGCCGAGAGAACTGCAACTGATGAACTTGTAATTAATTTAGAATCGTACTGGAGGTATGACAAAGCACCAAAACAATCAAATTGAGAAATACACCAAAAAAGTTACAATAATTGATGCAGCACAAATGAGAGCACTCGTACCAGCTCACTTTTCCTCCCTTCAATATACTGTTTGCAAAGCAGCACTCCATAACCCAGGAGCCACTCAATTAGGTTACTGAAAAAGCTCCCAGCAATGTGCAGAGAAACGCCAGAGAAGTGGCATTACAATCTCAAAACACACCGGAGAACTGTACAGCACAACCGGGGAAACCGGCACAGGAAAATGTATATCACTTGGTGAAAAATGTCATTGCAGCATTGCTAGTTCATGCAATTGACTCCTGATTTGAAGGTTGCAAAGAGAGTCCCCACTTTGTGGGAGATAGGTAGTGATTGTCCTGTAGACTTGTAGTGTGACACAGGCCCCCTACTGCTTGGGCGTGGTATTGCGATGCACACAGAATGACAGCTGCCACTCGTATACACACGGGAGAGATGGATTTGGCCAGATTTACTTTGAGGTGGCCCATGGGTAAATCACACATTGGTGGAGCACATAAGCTCACCAGTGTGAGGGGGTAGGGAGAGCGGGGGAAATTAATATTTTTAATGTATTTAGGTAAAGTGCATGCATTGCAAGGTACAAGGGGGCAGAGGTTGGTATGTCCCTTCATTGCCCAAAACACCACATCCCTATCAGGAGTGAGCATCTTTATCTAGAGGCAAATTCTGGATTTCGGACGACCATATGCGTTATTTTAAACACTAATAGCTCACTGTTTAACTTCTAATCAAAAAGAGTCAGACTATGTGGCCCTGATGGTACGATCATTACCAATGCCTACCTCACACTGTGAGAGAGGGGAACACATGAATAAGCACACATGCAATTTAAACACATTACATTGACTGTTAAGACATGTAGCTTTGGGCAGGACACGTTTTTAGAAGGCGCGATAGCCTGTGGTCGAGACTACTGACGGAGTGGCAGCTAAAAGATGATCATGTACGAAAGGTCATCTAACGCAGAGATGAAGCAATCAAATTCCCTCGTGTGCAGGAATTATATGATTTAATACATCGCAGGACCATTTGATATGGGAGGCTCTTATAATGCAGTAGACTGATAATGGCTGATGATGTACAACTACCGTGCATGTATGCATGCTGCAGACAATAGTTTAATGCTATCATTAATAATAACAATAATGATGGAACACATGCACACCCATTCAATCAGAGTAAGAAGCAGTGCATAGAATTACAAGGTCACAGCAATAAAGTTGAGCACGATTGCGTCAAAACACAAGACAACATTTTTTCCGACAACACGAAATTGGACCGCCTCAGATAAACACACGTGCAGCCCTTCGTGAATCCACTGCTGGATGAGGATGTCCCCATGCCGTGCAGGTCGTGGGGGTTGATCGTACCGTACTTCACAACACTGGTCAATCGGTATGGGTTGGTGAAGTCAGGGAGCATAGACGTGGGAGCAGAGTAGAACTGTACAACAACGGTTTTTTGTGCTGCACCACCCTCTGGCAACCACAGCCCCAATTGTAACCTGTCATGCATGGTTTTGCCCATCCAAGCACAATCATCCACCATCAACCCTGCTCGGCTTCCGATGTCTGACGAGATTGGACACATTCCGGGTGATTGGTCAGGGCATCACACAGCATCCGTTCATTAAACACAAGAGACAGCCACCACCAAGTAATTCCACCTTCAGAAGCTCCGTAAGATCCAAAAGGCATCATAACGTAACCTCCAGCGGCACATGTTAAGACAGGCACATACCAGGGCCACGCACGTGCACATGCAAAGGACATCTCGCAAGTAAGGAACAACCCCGCCTCTCGCTCCTGCACATGACCGTCCCACAGCAAGATGAAACAAACCTACACGTTTGCTCGGGCCACAGCCTTAAAAAAGGCATCAGCGGTGGCAACAGCAGCAGCGTCACCAACAAAATGCAACACTTGGGAGACTGACGGACTTGGCAGCAGTGATTGTTATGTTGGTGGGCATCAAAGCCATTCCTGCGACCTTCATGCCGAAGCCTGCAGGTGACTCATGGTGCTCTCGAGGCCCGCCAGAACGACAAGCCCACTTCACCAAATTCACATGTACTTTGAACAACCACTAGGTGCTTTGTCCCAGCAAGGCTGCCATCATTAAATCGTCCCTACTCTGAGCCATCATCCCCACCAACACCTACACCATGTGTTTTGTCCTCAGCCCCTGTATAATTGCACGGTAGTACACAGTACTGACACTGCGGGACGTGGGGTGGATAGACAGATGCAGACCAACGAAGCGGCAAGATTGGCACAGGACAGAGAGAAGTGGAGGGAGGTGCGACATGCCACCAACCCTCTAGAAAGACGATACCAGAAGACTACTACTGACACTGTACCTATACATGTAAACCTAGCCACTCGCGTGTAGCCGTGCAGTTTGTTGAATTGGCTCCCAGGGCTTCGGGCATTTACAATGACCCCCGAGAATGCTAAAGGTGACGCTGGAGCATTGATACTGCACACCGAGAATACTAAAATACTCTCCAGCCTCGCTGGAGTGATTTTCAAAAGTAAGCCGCAAGAGATCCTAAGGGTGTCTTGGTATGCTCGAGACTGGGCCACTGTCAATGAACCGTTGTAATCCTAAGGATGTTTTCATTTTGCTCACATAACTTCCAGCATTGTGATCCTCATAATAATTATATGGTTGCGTTATTGAGGCGCAATGAGCCGTGTTGTAGTCTATATGCACAACAGAATAAGACGGAGAGTGGGGACCCACAGCTTGTGTTACAACACCAGGGAATACCAAAATTGTCATCTAGGCGAAACGAGTCCCATATATTCACAATTCAAAAATAAACAACAAGAAACACCCGGTGGCTTAGTATGGCTGAGACCGGGGAAGTGTGTACGCCACAGGTAAACCCTAAGGCTGCTTGTTATACTTTGTCTCTCTACGCCTCCAGCATTATTATCAGTGACCTCGGCAAGAATCAATTGGTTGCAATCGCCAGTGGGTTCGACCCGCAGGTACTGTACGGTAGATGAAACCGAATAAGATGGAGAGTGCGAGTGGGGACCCACAGCTTGTGTTACAACACGCACGCACGGCGAGACGAGGCACTTTCACCACCAGGGTCGCCTCGCCTAGCCAGCGCTGCCGACAAAAAACACCTTCAACGATCTCTCACGAGACGCCGCCTGGACCCCAAGAGTGAATGTTATTTTTCACAATGAAACACAACCCGTGGCGTCGCATACGAAAAACACACGCGCATGCACGAACGAGGGGTACCCATGGGCAATATCGCGAGAGCTGATGAACCTGTAGACTGCTGCTGCCTTGTGAAGACTTCACAGGGCCACACATGTGGCCATGTGAAAGGGGAAGGGGCCATCACATGAGGGATGGGAGCAAAGTCATTGTACGGGAGATGCAGGGACGGTAGAACGCATCAGAGGAGGCGAAGCAACGGTGGTTAGAACCACAGGAACAGAGAGAATTATAGTGGGGAAAGCGCGACAGGATACGCATAATTAGAATGACAAGCAGGGGACGAAGCATCCGAGAGACACACCGAGAGAATCAGAAGCATCAGAGGAATCCAAGACGCAACACGGAGGAGCAGGATCAACAGAGATACAAGTAAAAGCGGCACAGCCACCTTAAGCCAAAGCAACAGCACGATCGTCAGAGAAAACAACTGCGGAGTCAGAGGAAAGGCATGAGACACAGCAGCAGAAACAGCAGGGTTACATAGACGAGCATGACATTAGACAGGCACATCGTGAGGAACAAAAGCACGAGAGGGGCATCGTCGGTAGCAAACGCCACAGCCTAAGAAGCATGACAACACCTACGTGAGTTTTCCCGACGAGTCGAGGAACAGCGACAGAAATGCAAAGCCATCAGACGAGTGAAAGCGTTAGAGGCGTACCACAAAATTAGAAGAGAACAAAACACGAGCAGCAGCGTTACACACACACAGTACCGACATAAGCATTCGAGGCGTAGCAGCATTCGAGGCAAACAAAAGCATACGACAGCGACATCAGCGCCACAACAGCAGCGTGACACAGGCCGCCACCAGCCTCCCCCTCACCTCCATGAGCCCTCCCGACGTGTCGAGGTCGTACACGATCTTCTCCATCATCGTGGCCTCCTCCTCCTCCTCACCGCGGCCGATAAACAATCTGCAAGCGCCTTCTCAGCTCAGTCCGTGCGCTGGCGTTGCGCTTGCCTTTGGGGTTTACTCCGCGCTCCCCAACTCAACAAAAGACGCAGCGGCCGAGAAACGCGGCGGAGCGGTCGCCACTCAGCCGCTGCTGCTGCTGCTGCCGTCGCTGCCGCTACTCGCCGCCTGCGTCGCCATGGCGTCCCGAGGCGCAGCGACAAAACAAGGCCCTGCGGGGTCCCCGGTCTTGCCTGGAGCTCCCCGCAGGGAAGCCTGCGCTAGGCCTCCCGTCAGATGCGGAGGCCGCGCCGGCAAGGCTGGGAGCTGAGGCGAGCACGACGCACGCAAGGAATCGTCGTCCCCTCTCTCTGGCTGCACTCCCGCCCTCGTTACCGCCGCTGTTGTTGTCGTTGCAAAGGCCTCGATAACACGGCCGCTTATTAACGGCGGCCCCGCGCCGCCTCCTCCTCCATCACCGCCGCGTCAAGTTGGCGCTAACTTTGCAATAGCGGTAGTGCGCATGCGTAGACACGCCCCGCCAGCCGCGTGGCTTCACGAGCGCGCGTTTCCCGCCAAAAGCGCCTGCTCGCCCATTGGTCAATGTCCGGAAATCCTGACGCGCGATTGGACGCAATCGCGTGACGTCACGACAAACGGTGCGTAACGGCGGCCATCTTCGGTAAGGAAACAAGTCGTACAGTAACATTGTTGTGAAGGATGACGTCTTCTGTAGCCATTTCCGGTCACATATAATAATAAATTATTACAAGTTAATTATATTTTTATTACTGTTCATGTTAACCACAGCTTTTTTTCCTAGTATGGAGTTGCGTGACTTCCATAACGCTCTGTAAAAAAGATGAAGTGAAAGAAAAATTTGCTTATTAACATACATTACAGTAATGCCTAAGGGATCAATTAATCGGTTGGGTCGCAGATTGAGAATCGATCTTTTACAAACCCTATTTACATGGAAGTCACAGATGCCCATGTTAGCTTAGTACACAAAAAAAACAACACAATACAAATGTGAAAAGCAATAACATGCGCACGTCCGCTGCTGAATGAATGCCTCCCCTACGGGGGGATGGTGGGGTATTTATTTATATCTTTAGATTATTTGGCTGCTGCTATAAATGTCCACATGACGAGCCACTTGGTTGAGCTGTCATTTGTGGCCAGGTCGATTCTGTAAAAAAATCTACATAGCTCCGTGGGCCTTAGCCGGTAAAGTAGAAAGTTAGTTTACTGGTAGGAACCTCCTGGTTACACCAGCCCACAGGGGATTATTGTGCCCGTCCGTGCAGAGAGGGGCTGGGTGGGGAGGGTCAGGAGGGTCTGGGTGGGGAAGGTCGGGAGGGGCTGGGTGGGGCTGGGTGGGGAGGGGCTGGTCACCCCGTGGTGCCCTTATAAAACTCAACGTTTAACCTACTCACGCCGGCTTGTGCCCGCCCTCACAGCAGAGGTCGCAACCGGGTACCCGATACCCGTACCCTACCTGATACCCGGCTACCCATACCCGGCCGGGTACGGGTACCCGTTTGCGACCCTGGTGCGGCCGGGTACGGGTACGGGTAGGCCGTGAGTCACTGGTGAGTAACTGTTTGTCACTCATTTCCCAACGTCTTGTCCCTTCTCACAATTCAAGTTCCTAGAATCAACCCACCCGCGCCTGCAACATGGCTTCATCCCAGAGGTCGCAATCGGGTACTCGATACCCGTACCCTACCCGTACCCAGCCGGGTACGGGTAGGGTACGGGTACGGCCGGGTACGGGTACGGCCGGGTACGGGTAGGGAACGGGTACCCGTACCCGGCCGGGTACGGGTACCCATTTGCGACCCTGGTGCGGCCGGGTACGGGTAAGGAATCAAAACCCGTTTGCGACCCCTGCCTCACAGTCGGGCATATTTGCGGAATACACCACGCCGCCGTTGACCCTGGCCATTGACCGAGCAACCCAACGTCCCTACCAGCTCCCTCCGCAGGAATGTGTTTTTAGTTTAGTTTAGGATGCAGTGCGTGGACCTGACCGCAAGGTTTATCCACCTCCTTGTCAACAATTCAAGTGGAGAGACCGAGAATGGGAGACCACGGCTACCGGCTTCTCTCAGAGGTCAGGGCTGGAACCTCTCAGTGCCTAGGTTTGAATCCCGGCAGCCTCCTGTGATTTTCCTCCGGGTCCTGCGGTTTTCCCCTCCAAATTTAGAATCGACATGCGTTTAAACAACTGCATGTGGCTGTAGTAAATGTCCACGTGAGAAGCTACTTCGTTGAGCTAGTTGTTAATCGCCAGCTCGCTTCTGAAAACGAGCTGTATAGCTCAGTGGACCTGGATTCTCAAAGTCGGTTTGGTTGATGGTTTTGTCGTGGATACACTCTTATAATTTTAAAAAAGTGACGTCAACTGCGCGAGATATGTTTCGGTTAAATACGCCCGCAATATTAACCAGGGCGGACGCTGGGGTTCTAACCGCGAAACTCTGCTACATGCGGCAATTAACGCGCTATTCTATGAGTGCGGATGATGGGAGCAACAGCAACTTGGTTCAGGAGCTCCATGTCAGTGTCGCGGTCTGCTGCTGCTGCTAGGCACGACGAGAGGGAGGGCTCCATCAGAGAGAGAGAGAGTTCGTGTCGTGTCACTCTACCTGCTCCGTTGAACGAGCGCAGACCGTAGTGGGGTTCATTGTGCGGGTCCACGTGTTGGGTTGCAAGGCCACAAACACACGCCTGTGTCTTGTACTTAGTATATCTCTGTGGGTTTAGTACAAGGGTCGGAAACCAATATAAAAGTGCATTTTTTTCGAATTTGGTCAACTAAATATTTCAAGAGCCACAATGCACGTGCATACGATGCGGTGGTCCTTAATACATAACGTCTCGAAGCCGTCCTTACAGAGCCGCATGCAGCTCAGGAGCCGCGGGTTTCCTGCCCCTGGTTGACTTATGTATGCTCCATAGTGCATGGCGACAATCGCATTCCTCTTGTTGTTTTAGTGTTTTTTCGTGAATGGAGATGTGGTGCGCATCGTCCCGCTGATGTTGATATTCTGATAAAGCGGTTGATGGTTCCGCCAGTGTCTTCGAGGAGGAGGAGGAGTGTCAAAGCCAAGAAGAGGTGGTGCAATGATGTCTGGGTCTGGAATGAGGTGTCGTTCATTCTGTTGGGTGGGAGACGGTCTCCTCCCTCCTCCTCGCGGTGGCTCCACCGCTGAGGATGCTTTCACTTCACATGAGACCAGTTGTGTAACGAGCTACGAGTTGGGGGCCCCCTTGACACGCACCATGAGATTTACTCTTTGGTTCTTTCGGTAAAGTCACGTAGGTAGAAATAAAATAAATCACGACGTTTCGATCGCAGCACAGGCGACCGTCATCAGGTGGAACCGATACAGCAGGACAACTGCTGATTTATTTTATTTTATTTCTACCTACGTGACTTTACCGAAAGAACCAAAGAGTATGGATTTCTGCAGTCACGAAAGCTTCAAATCACCATGAGATGTTTTCAGCAACAGTGTAAAACAACAACAAACTTATTTAAAACGCGGTTTAAATGTATATGTTTATGAAAACGCTTTAATTTACGTTCCACGCCTTATTTTAATTTAATTAGAGCAGTAACGTTTGGCGACCATGCGAGACAAATTCAATATTGTGGGACCCCACCTGACCGATTACCGGCACCCCCTGAGTTGATCCCGGCATGACCACGCCACCGCCTTCCACACACACAACTCTGACCCCGTGACCCGAGCGAGGCCAGACGGACGCCGTTCGTGACAATGAACGCCGCACGACACCACGTGCCGTTGGGGCCGCCACGGCATCCTGAAATCCGTAACCTGTTACATTCACCTGCGAGTGACCTCCGCGCGAGATTGTCGAACAAGTTCGGTGTTTTTGGTAGTGGGGTGGGTGGGGGTGACCACAGACCGCAGCTCACTCCTGCGCCTGTTGCGATTAGGGAGGCGAGGCAGCCGTGCGCACGGGTGGCTCAGAGCGATAGCTCTCGACACAATACGGCGAATTGTGCGCGGTGTTTTCCTGCTACGCACCGGTGGGTTGCCAACCAGCATCGCGCTGCCACCAACTCCTCGACCCCCTCGCACGCGCGATCACAATCACGCGTCGAGTTTGAGCCACGCAGCACTTGCGACGCCGACTCTCTTGTTCAGCCGGTGCCGTCGTGTGTGTGTGTAGATGCTGCACGGTTATGTGAAGAGGTGGGTACAATGTTTGTTTTACTTGAACTGTTTTGTTGATCTGAATTTGTCTTGTCTCTGCTATAAAGAAGTTGGTTTTGGTAACGGTGCCGTTGCGTTGGCAGCAGTGGTGCAAAACAAACTAACACGTGCGTAAATAACACTCTGCGTGTGTGTGTGTGACACTGCGTGTGTGTGTGGCCTTCAAGGGCAGTTTATATGGGCGACGTTTCGGATCGGGGGGCTCCTTCAAAGCACAGCGGGGCATTGCCCTAAACGTCGCCTATTGTATATTTTAACGCGCTGTGGCGATTTTCGGATGTGTTCAAAGTTGTTTTAGCTATTTGTGTGATAGGTTTGGATGTTCTCAGGTATGCGTGGATATTCTACCCCCCCCCCCCTTCGCCATGACGCGACGTGGGGAGGCCTTCATCCAGCAGTAGATTGGCATAGGGCCGCGATCTCCATCGTTTCACCCGATCTCGAGTGGCTGTGATTCAAGCGCTCCAACCCTCGTTGAATTCTGGTCAGAGGTTAACAGGCCTTGTCTTCCCACTGGGGTGGAGGGGCCGATAAATCGAGTACCACTTTGATGTAAGTTTAACGATGGGTGCGCGGTGGTGAAGCTGATCCTTGTCGTGAGAATGTTTAATTTCCATGACCAACGGATATGAACGCCGCGGTGGCGCCTGGTATGCAGGAGGTCGTGGGTTCAATTCCCACCCTGACGCCTGTGGTCGCGTGAATTTAGCTTCTCGTTTTTACCTTCACATTTAGAATTAGCGTGCGATTAGAGTATTTGACTGCTATCAATGTCCACGTGATGAGCCACTTTATTGCGCTTTCATTTGTGGCCAGGTCGCTTCTGAAAAAGAGCTACGCAGCTCAGTGAGCCTGACCTGCTCAAATATAAAAAAGAACACTCAACCCCAATGATTGTTTAAGCAGGAAGACGCCGTGACTCAGTCAACTCTTCGTGACTGATTAAGTGATATATAGTAACTTGGAGCTCTTTGGTCAATTCACTGCTGGATGAGAAACTCCCCATGTCGCGCCGGTCATGGCATGGGGGGGGGGGGTGTCCATACTTCACCGTGCTGGTCAGTGGCAGCGCGTAACCGACCAGTCGTGTGACCTTCGTGGCCGGGAATCGAACTCGGGTGTGCCGGGTTCGTAGCGCGGTGCGCCAACCGCTGTGCCACCACTCCCCACTCCCATTCCTCTCCGTGTTTGTATTTCACGTGCGGAGAGGCGGTGGAGGTTAGCCGACGCTAAAGCCACGCGGGGGATCGATCGTGTGCGTCACGGCGATACTGCTCGGAACTTCCTCGAGTTTTTCATAATCGCAAATCCAGTCTGTTTCTCCTATAACGCGTGTAGTTTTCACGACGCGATTTGGATATAACGCGATTGAGGGAACAGAACGGCGTCGCGCGAGGAGGAATACGCGATTGTACGGCTGCCTCGGCGTAGCATCGCACAAGGTGGGATGCTGCTGGATGCTTCTCGATACTACCCATGCGCGTCAGTCTTTGTTCAGCCTGCATACCCATTTTACGTGTTATCGCGGACTGTGCTTTATCCTATCTTATTTATTATAGCGCGATTTTTCCAGACATTGATCCGCAATGCGCCCCATGTTGTTGAGCCTCGGCAGCTAAGCAGGTTTGAGCCTGGATAGCGCTTGTGTGGGCAACCAGCGCTATGGGGCGCGTTCATCTCCGTTGACGATCAGACAGTGGTGTAAACTCCACATTCTTATGGCGGAAGCAGTTGTGTGTGTGTGTGTGGGGGAGTGGTCGTGTAGCGGTTCGTACGCTATGCTACGAACCCGACGACCCAAGTTCTATTCTCGCTCACGGCCAATACCAGTGACGATTATCTGAACCGGTCCTGGGCCTCCCCTAGGTCGACTCAGCCTCAAATGAGTACCTGGTGCGGTGTGTTCAAATATCGCCACTGGGGAGACAAAGGCGGCCGGGCTTGGTGCTGGCCCATTAACAGCACTTGCCCCAACAGTCTGTTCAGGCTAAAGGGGGGATCTTTGCCTTTGGTCTACTTCTGTATACAGTAATTGTATTGTGATTCTTCCGCTGTAGCTGGATACGCGTGTGCAGGTGAACTCACCTGGAGGCGCCGTGGTGCTTTCTGCAGTGCGGGCGACATAACAGGAAGGACATAACCACTGTGCAGGTGAGAGGCTCGCTCACCTGGTGGTCTCAGCTGGTGGTCTCACCTGGTATTCTCACCTAGTGGTCGTATTTGGTGGGATCACCGTTGGTCTCACCTAGTGGTTTTACATAGTGGTCTCACCTCGTGGTTTCACCTGGTGGTCTCACCGCTCTACAGAGTGGCTCAAAAGTCAGGACGCATAGGGCTATTGAATTTATTTTAACACTGGCATTAAAATATTTTAACAATTTATTCTTGAAGTTAATATTTTATCTCTTGTCATTATTAATATACATTTTTCGTTTTCTTCTTCCTGCTGCTGCGGGGTCACCTCAAATTTGTCGTTTTACAAAACATCATTGGTGACTGTTCAAAGATTACATCGGTAAACTTAAAAAAATGTCCCAAAATAATTTCTAAACATAATTAATGTATGCATTAATCTTAGTGGAAGTCAGTTTGAGCATTTGTTAAGATAAATTAAATAACCCTGTGTAATTTGTCAAAATATAATAACCCTATGTGTCCTGACTTTTGCGCCACCCTGTATATTGATGAGAATGTGGCACGTGACCAAATCACCCAGAATTCGTCCATGGGTCAGAGCAGAAAATGGTACCACAGAAGGTGGCAAAGCTTTGGTAGTTATGATGTATTCATCCAGCTGAAATTACTGAATGATCTGATCACCCCACACATGTTTTGACCCATGCGCTTATGCAATGCAATTTGAACCCCGATGAAGCTTGGAAAGCTGTGGTTCAAAATAACTCACAGACAAACACCACGTTGTGAAAGACCCAATACAGACGATCCCTCGGTTTGGTCTTCCACAGAGCTCATGGTCCACCCTAAACCCCATCATCCACTGCACAAACCATGGCAGGTGCGTTAACCTGATGCACAAATGGAAAACTCTCCAGTGTGCGACTACGGTCATCCAGAACAGACCGTACAACACGTATGTTGAACTTATTTCACACCGTACGTAGCCAACCGTGCTAATCGGAGGTGCGCATGATGACGCAACAAAAAAAAACACGAGGGAGACATCGCAGCGATACACTCCGCCGCTCCCGAGGCCGTTGTCTGGCTTTGACCACCTGAATGTGAGATTGGAGTCGTTGCTCTGCACCTACACTATCAGCCGTACAGAAGAAGACAGATTTAAAGCGGTTATCGCATACTCTGCTGGAATTGGCCACACATCAAGTGATTGAAGTCCGCGAGGGTGATGCCACCTCGAGTGGTACCGACAAAGGGCAGCATCCGCTCTGGGTTCATCGACTACGGTAAATTAAGTCAATAACGTGGAAGCTAAGCAGGTTTCTAGCCTGTTCCGTTCTTGGATGGGCGATCACCATGCACAACAGGTTGTTACTAGTTGTTGCTGCGCCGCTACGTGGCAGGCAGCAGAGGATTGTGCAGCAAAATCCACTGTTGTACTGCACTGCTATGCCCCCCGCCCCTCGGCTCCCACGCATCTACGTTCCTCGCCTTCATGAACCCGTTTTAACCGACGTGGTTGAAGTATGGTCAATAACCCTCCAACGACGTGGAGATGCCCTCATCCGACAGTGGAACGACGCCGGGGCTGCGCACGCAGATGCGTTGCTGTGCCACAAGGCAGTGTTGACGGGCATAGCGGTGAGTTTCTCGTCGTTGTTGTTGTGTAAACAGTTTTGTAACCCTCCCTCCGTGCGGGAGCGTTCGGCGTGGGCGTGTGAGGCTTAGTGCCGGGCCGTAAATCCCGAGAACATCTACTTAGGAGAACACAGTGCGGGCATTATAGTAAAGCGATGCGGAGGGCCAGAATTGAGAAGCACGGCGATGTAAAGTAATACACCACACAAGGATCGACCGACGGATGGGTTAATTCGGGCCGGGAACAGGGGAGCTTGGATCGCCAGTGTTTATAGCACGCGGTGCACCAGCCACTACTCCGCCACCACCACCACCCCACCCTGCAGTTGTAAGTGTTAATGTTTTATTGAGATGCGGTCGCATTCAGATGCTGCACTAATCCAAACTATGCAGTCGTAGTATTCTTACTGCAAGGAGGAAGCGATGGTATGCGTTGCGTTTGTCAGGGCAGGTTTTTTGGGTGCTGCGTTGGCAAGATGTTAACTACCTCGCCTAGTGTACAGGAGGTCGTGGGTTCGATTCCAATCCTGATGCCTGTAATATTTGGAGTTTGCTTCTTCTCCCTGTGGATGAGTGGGTTTTTCTCCAGGCCCTCCGGTCTTCCTCTCTGCATTTATAATTAACATGACCACGCGTTAAAACATATTTGGCTGCTGTAAATGTCCACGTGATGAGCCACTGCATTCAACTATCATTTGTGGCCAGGTCGCTTCTGAAAAGACCTACATAGCTCAGTAGGCCTTACCTGGTAAAATAAAAAAAAATAGTTTAATCGTTTTTTAATAGTAAAGCCAGGTTTTTGATGGACCACAGCAACTCTCACGGATGAGTAGAGAGGTCAGTTTTAGTGCAGACAGGCGGATGTGTGAGGCAAGGAGGTCAGAGAGCTGGACTTCAACAACACAAAGAGATAACAAACTTCTGGCCTCTCGATACACGGCGTACTTAGGTGTCCTTCGGAACTTCATGGAAGAACAGGATGAAGCAAATCAGAAGTTTTGAACAGAACATTAAAGCAGATAGAGAGACGAGGCCACGATGGGTGGGAAGTATTACGTATGTAGGTATGTATATTGAACTTCTTTCGCACCGTACGTAGCCATCCGTGCTCATCGGAGGTGCGGGAACCGCGTGCAGGGAGGGGGAGGAGGGCAGGTCGCCGAGATCGGCATTAGCGTAGCGCCCAGAGGTCACCGAGCAAAGGAAGAGAAGACCTCAAGCCACCAAAATTGAAAACTAATTTTTTTAGAACTGCTTTTTTGGGTCTAGTTTATTGTCCTTCCCCCGTACCTCCGATTTAGCAAGGTTGGCTACGTACGATGCGAAAGATGTTTAACATACGTACATACAGTACATACGACAGGTCCCAGGGGTAGCGCGAGGTTCACGAGTTCGATCCAGCGGCCGTCCTGGTTACTACTGCAGGTGAAGCTGCCAGTACGCAGAGCGGAACATCCGGACATCCTACCAAACAATGTGCAGTGTAAACTATAAACTATTTATTTAAACAAATTATTTTTTTTACCAGGCAAGGCCCACTGAGCTATACAGCTCTTTTTCAGAAGCGACCTGGCCACAAATGATTGCTCAATGAAGTGGCTTATTACGTGGAAATGTATAGCAGCCAAATACTCTGAACGCACATTGATTATAAATGTGGATGGGGAACACCGGAGGATCAGGAGAAAAATCCACACGACCACAGCGAGAGAGAGACAATCAAACTCCAAATATACAAGCAGGCGTCAGGTTCTGAATCTAACCCATGCCCTCCTGTATACATCTCACCACCATGGTGTCCACAGAGCACTTACTCGGCACAAGCGGGAAAATCAAGCTGCGCCCTTTATAACGATCTCAATTATCTCCACCCCTCATCCTCAGGCTTCGAACTCGTCCATGGCTTCTCGGCGCGCCCTCCTCGTCTCACTGGCGCTGCTTGCTCTGCACTGGCAGCAGAGCCACGGGATACCGACTTCCCAATTTCAGAGCACCAGGGGCACATCCACAGGGACCGCGGACCAGCCCCTTGGCCCAACAACCACCCCGGCGAACACCCTCAAAGCGGAGGGCACCACCACCACCAAAATTGGGCAGGGAACCACCACTCAAGTTGATGAGCGCCAGAGTGTTGGCAGTGGTGATAACATCACCACTGCCAACACCACCACGACCACTACCACCAACCCCACGACCACCACTGCTGTCAGCAAGTATGATGACGATGATGACATCACCACTGTTAATAATGGCGAACGGACCTCTGCTACGAGCGGCAGCAGCCTTGGTCCCAGCGAGAAACTCACAGGTGGTGGTGGTGGAGACTTTGGGATCACCATCACTCCCGTAAGCTTTTCAAACTCCAGCAGCAGTGGCACCATGAGCGGACCTCCCGCGGTCCGCGACTCCGAGACTGAGAACCCCGAGCAGGGCCACGCCACTCAAGGTCGCCGCAATCATTCCCGGGAGCACGGGGACCCGGCCGATGTTATAACCCAGAGCCCGGACCCGAGCGGCGGGGAGGACAGCCGTTCCCGAGCCAACGTAACCACGCCACACGAGGACTGCCACGAGTTGGGGCGGCGCTACGGCCTCATCGTCCTGGTCCTGGCCTCCACCACGGCCCTCTTCGCCAGCATCTCCATTCTGCTGGCCGCACGTGCGTGCCGGGGCCGGCGGCGTCGCCGCGGAGCCTCTGCGAGCTCCGGCCGTGGCGGTGGCGGTAGCGGCGGTGAGAAAGGTCGGCGGCCGCACGGCAGCCGTGACAACCTCCTGGGCGCCATCCCTGGCTGGGCGCCGTGGTGGGAGGCCAAGGGGCTGTTGGCGCATGGCGGAGAGGCGACGGGGCCTTCGCGTCCTGGGAACGAAGCGGCAGGCGGTGGTGGTGCCACGCCGCTGGTGGTGGTTGAGGCCGACGCAGCGCGCGAGCCATCGATCAGCGCCGAGACCCTGCCCGGGACTCCGCAGAACCGGGGCAGTACCGCATCGCCCATTCTCCGGGAGATGCGTGGAAAATGGGGCCCGCAGATGACCGCAGAGGGCTCCCCGGCTTAGCGTTTCTATGTCACACGTGTGCGTGCAGACGCACACACACACACGTGTGCGCGCGAGCTCGTGGTTCACTAAAATCAGTAACCACTTTGTGGAAAACCAACGACGGTTGTTCTATAGCTCCCCAAAAAACACGCAGTGTTTGCGTGACAAACCTTATTAATTGGCTGTGTCGGGTGGTGGCGGGTTTAATGTCACATTTATATTCATGCGATCTATCCCAAAAATCTCTATTATGGATAATATTGGTCACGAAAGCCTACGTGTTCAACAGATAACACTTTATTGTGTATGGCCATAAAATAAAAACCTATATAACAGACGACGTTTTAGGGAAATGTCCCTTCTTCAAAGCACATAGAGAGGCTAGAATGGTAGGCAACATCCTCGTATAATGCGTGAAGCAAAAAGTCTCAGTGTGTATATTGCCTCACTAAAAGCAGATTTCTGCGGGCTATCCTGAGCAAGTATTGGACATTCTACATATTTGCCTGTGTGGAAGTTACAAGAGTCCACAAATGTATGCATTTTTTTGGAATCTTATAATTGTTGTACTGCAAAAAAAAGACAAAGGATGGAATAATCATGAATTCCAGTGGTGTTTTTTAAATCATTTATATTAAGTTCGCTTGCTTGCTTAGGACCGTGCAAATCTTTCGGTCGTTTTTTAACCCACTTCCCGTGATCCAATCGAGCTGACATTTTCCACACAGACTCGTTGTGCGTGACAATTAATGTTCGTGAAATTTTTTAAATTTTTTTTACACTTTTTAGGACAAAATATTATATGTTATTACCAATTGCTTAATGGTGCAATGCAATCATCTGACCCATAGGTGGCAGCCATCTCAAGCCAGAGGACGAGAGGACTCTAGCCGCCACGCATATAAAGGATTTATAGTGAAAAACTTTGTTTTTACGGGTTATACTTGTTTGATATTAACATTGCCACATGGTTAGTCACGTGATTCGCCACGTGGGTGGCCGATTTAGATTAATTATCTCATTCTCCCCCCCCCCCATCCTTCCCCACCGAGACATTGGTCTGGGTTGGAGAGTGTGCGGAAAATGCCCACGCATACTTGAGGAGAATATACAACCCTGCCACACAAATAAACTAAAACAACTTTCAACGCATCCGTCAATAACGCTGCTTGCAGCCTTAAAATAAAAAAAATGTGAACAAGGATCATTTCCCGAAAGTCGTCTTTTATATATTGTATCCCTTTCAAGGCCACACAGTGATATTGACGAAGGTGTTGAGTTGTATTCGTCGGTGCATGTATACCGCTGCCAACGCAGCAGTGCAGCATCGGCATTACACCCTGCTTGCTGTACTGCCTCGGACAGGCACGAGCTCCGTTACTCACCGTGCAGTGGGCATCCTCACATCATCATCACCACCACCACCATCATCACTTCTCTTATTCCAGCTTGATATACCAACCAGACTACTGGGGTTCGGGCACTTGGCATTAACACTCTCCAAAGCCTTGCCGGGCCCATGAGCGGTGTTCTCTTTAGATTCGAGCATTCTATTCCACCCTTGCGTGTGATGGAAGCACACGCAAAGCAGTGCGTTCAGGAGCCTAGGTGCCCAATGTCGAGATCTGCCCACGACGAGAAGGCTTCAGAAGAGAGAGTTCGTGTCGTTTTACTCTTCCTCTTCTGTTGAAGGAGAGCAGACCACAGTTTTTGTTGACTGTAGGGATCCATAGTGAGGGTTGCATGGCCACAGTCGCACTACTGTGGCTTGTCTTGAATGGATCTCGATGTGCACCTGTGTATCTCTTTGAGTCTCTGCGTATCTCTGTGTGTCTCGATGGGTTTACTAGAGTGGGCCATAGTTTGGTTTGCATGGCTGCAGTCGCACTACTGTGGATTGTGGCTTTAATTTTCCATTAATGAAGGACATATGGTGCGCATTGCCCGCTGTTGATGGGATGATGAAGCGGTTGATGGCTACACCACCGGTGTCTTCGCGGAGGAGGAGGAGCGATGTCACAGCCAGGAGGAGGTGCGATGATTGGGTCTCGAATGACGTCGGCGTTGCTCGACTCTGTACGCATATCAGCAGCATCAGCAGTGTTGTTGTTGTTGTTCTTCTGAGTCTGGGTGAGATTCGCGGATGGTGACAGCAGCGCGAATTTAAACTGAATTCGTGCGACTCCTAGAGGTGCCCGAGGTCTGGCTGTCTTCACCCTCGGGGACTAACAATGGACCCCGAATGTTGTAAGGTGCCTTTGTCTCCCAGAGCCTCAAGGATCCACACTTTTGCCGTAAGGATCCCTGTCCGCCGTACGGGTGCCTTATTGTGGCTCGCTGAGCCTGTGTTCATGGCTGGGGTTCGCGTGGCGATACGACGTGCAGTAGCGCACTCTGTCCAACAGGTAGCGATGGACCATCCAGTGGAGATTCGAATTCAGTGACTGCGTAGGTTTTTGTTTGTTTGTTAATTTGAACGTCATCTCAAAATGTACGTGTACAGCACGTGGTCAATTTCAATACCGCGGGTCACGGAATTCGTGCTCTCTCACTGGACTACGTGTAACCAGATTAACAAGAAGATCGATTTTATTTTTTAAACAAACGAATCAATATTTCAAGAACCGCGATGCATGTGATGAATACGAGACGGTGGTCCCTGAATAAATAACGTCTCACGAAGCAGTTCCTTCAAGAGACGCATGCGGCTCAGGAGCCGCGGGGTTTCCGCCCTCTGAATATGTGGGACGAGCGATGCCTCGAGTCATCCCTGCGACTCGCAGAGCGACAGAGCGCGCCTGCGGCTCTCAGCCCAGGAGGGAACGTCGTTATCGGGCTCCCAGGCACGGCGTGGGTGCGCGGCGTTCATCGGAGCCGTCTGTGGAAGGAAACGCGCGTGTGGCGGGGGAAATTCGGGTTGCGTGACGGAATCGGGGCTGGAACCCACCGCATCGTAACTTCTGTTGCCATTACTACGACTACCACCACCACAGAAAAAAGATCCCCCGTATAGCCTGTGGGCAAATGCTGTTAGCGAGTAGCAGCACCTTCGAAGGCCGGCACGGCGCACGAGGGGGTGAGTGGCCGGAACCACGCCCAACGTCACCAACCACCCGCAACCCTGGCTCCAACCTCCAGCCCTGGCTCCAACCTCCAGCCCTGGCTCCAACCTCCAGCCCTGGCTCCAACCTCCAGCCCTGGCTCCAACCTCCAGCCCTGGCTCCAACCTCCAGCCCTGGCTCCAACCTCCAACCCTGGCTCCAACCTCCAGCCCTGGCTCCAACCTCCAACCCTGGCTCCAACCTCCAGCCCTGGCTCCAACCTCCAACCCTGGCTCCAACCTCCAGCCCTGGCTCCAACCTCCAACCCTGGCTCCAACCTCCAACCCTGGCTCCAACCTCCAACCCTGGCTCCAACCTCCAGCCCTGGCTCCAACCTCCAGCCCTGGCTCCAACCTCCAACCCTGGCTCCAATCTCCAGCCCTGGCTCCAACCTCCAACCCTGGCTCCAACCTCCAGCCCTGGCTCCAACCTCCAGCCCTGGCTCCAACCTCCAGCCCTGGCTCCAACCTCCAGCCCTGGCTCCAACCTCCAGCCTTGGCTCCAACCTCCAACCCTGGCTCCAACCTCCAACCCTGGCTCCAACCTCCAGCCCTGGCTCCAACCTCCAGCCCTGGCTCCAACCTCCAGCCCTGGCTCCAACCTCCAACTCTGGCTCCAACCTCCAACCCTGGCTCCAACCTCCAGCCCTGGCTCCGACCCTCACTTCTTCCGTTGGTCGCCAGTGCCAACGTACTCTTGATATACCAAGATCCAGGATGGTCACCGTGTCTATGCGCCGCTTCTCGGTGGCAGCCCCAACAGTCTGGAACGATATCCCTCTGCACATTCGCAGCATCACCTTAATCGCCTCCTTCAAGAGACACTTAAAGACTCACCTCTACAACCACGTGCTTTCGAGCGACTCTGCGCTTGGCTCCGCGCCTCTGAGTTGCGGTCGTTGCGTCCGCAAATTTGCGCGCATTATAAATTGCATTATTATTATAAGAATTGGAGCCTGACCGTTGGGTTCTTACCCTCGATTACTGCGGTGGCAACAACAACAACAACAAAACCCCCCAAACATTTCGCTGTCACTCTTTAGAGCCGATCACTTCCCGCTGTTTCTAAACTTGATCCGACTAACGCGGGTCCCGTTAAGGGATCCTTATATTATCAGCTGTGTGTAATACTGTAGTCATTTCCTGAATATATATTTTAAAAAGCCGCGTTGCATTGTTTGTTTACCGTAATGTAATTCATACCATCAGCACTTATATACTGTAACGTGTTACATGAAATTATAGGAAACGTGCGCGCGTGTGTGATGTGCTAGGCGTGATATAATCATTCGATTTACGGTCCATGTGCAATACAGGCTGATCCATGTACAGATACCCCACTGATTTCCAATGCCCCCTCTGACTTTATTACCAGCAGCCGATTGATGATTGTGACACCGATTGGCTCCGTGTCTTAAGAGAGGAGAGGGTTCAACGATTTAACTCGCGCATTGCGATCGGTGGGACACGCGTGGAGGCTGTGCATTAACACAAAGTGTTCTCCATTTCAAAATGTTGGTTTAGTGGTGTATCTATAAATGGATCGCCTCGCGTTGCTGCTTTCCGTGTGAATTGTTCCGTGTGATCTTCCACGGAGCTCACGGTCCACCGCTAATCCGCATCTACTGCACACACCATGGCACTAGACGCGGATACCTGATGCACGAATGGAACATTAGAGACCCTCTCCGGCAGTGTGTGACGGTGGTCATCCAAAACAGATTGTACAACGTGTCACGACGCAATTCCCCGACCCACAAATACGAAGGAGGCATCACAGCGATGATCCACTCCGCTGCTCCTGACGCGGTTTATCCGCTGTGATGACCACCTGAATGTGAGATTGTAGTTGTTGCTCTGCACCTGCATCAGCCATACGAGTGACTGCTTTCCAATGACCTCATTGGCTTTACGCGTCGTTCAATGGCTGTAAGCAACTCCCGAGGACGATGTGGGACTAAGTGTTGGGGCGCCACGGTGGCTAGGAGACGTTAACTACCTCGCCTGGTATACAGGTATACAGGAGATCGTGGGTTCGATCCCGACCCTGTGACATCTGCTGTATATTTGGAGTTTGCGTGTCTCTCTCTCCGTGGTCGCGTGGATTTTTCTTCGGGTTACCTCTCCACATTTAGAATCAACATCACGCGTTTAGAGTATTTGGCTTCTGCTATAAATGTGCACGTGATTATAAGCCCACTTCGTTGAGCTCTCATTTGCGGGCAGGTCGCTTCTGAAACAAAGCTGTATAGCTCAGTGGCCTTACCTGGAAAAATACCAAAAAAATAGTTTAAGTGTTATCAGGAGAGCGTTCTAAAATGTAATGACTGCGTCCAGATTGGTGAGAGACGTGTGGAGGCTTTGCAGTGTATGAATGTTGAACTTCGTTTGCGCCATGCGTAGCCGACCCTGCTGCACTGAAATGCAGCGTGTTCTGTAATTCCCTCCCCTGTAGTTTGAATGGAGTATCTGTAAATGGATCGCCCCTGTGTCGCTGCAAAATGAAACAGAATATTTGGCGATGCTGCTGCTGCTGCTGCTGCCAAAGCGCAGTGCACACGACACTCGACACCTTCGTCAATCGCACTGTGGCCTGAAAAAGGAGGAGTACTATAGGCGACGTTTCGGGCAATTGCCCTTCGTAGTATGTTCACTTGTGCTGTGAGGAAGGACCGTTGCCCAACACGTCACGTGATCCATTGTGTTCCCTCTGCAGGCCATGCGCAGTGTTGCTCTTGACCAGCCTGTCCGAGTTAATGCTGTTTTGTGTTTCTGCGTTCCGTTTGTATGTTATTCCGCGTGTAATACCACAATTGATATACAGTACTTTACCTGTATATAGAGTTCAGGGACTCCTCTACTTACGAACGAGTTACGTTCCAGAGGTCTGTTTTCGTCAGTCGATTTGTCCGCTAAGTCCAACTTCACTCCTGTCGGTTCCAAACGTGTTGTACGACGTGTACACTAAACACGGGGAATGACTTTTAAAAGTTGCATATTCTCCTGTACTGTACATGTAAATTCCACTGGTTATTCATGTTCGGTCCGCAGATGTAGATGCCACCACCGCCATCTATTGCGCGGTGGTTGAAATTACGACCCTCGGTCCGAACAGGCAACTGGACATACGGACAGATTTGTTCGTATCTCTGAAAGTTCGTAAGTCGAATGTTCGTTAGTCGAGGAGACCCTGCACGGTATTACGTAGAGTGCCTGTACATCAAGTCATCCTTGCAGCAGCTTTTGGCTGGCCATCGACCAAAAACGGGCACTGCATCGCGCGCTTATAGAATTCAGATGCGCCTCTGTGGCCGTCTGGAACGCTTTTCCTTTCGATATTAGGACGCCACTGGAGTTATACACGTTTACATCATCTAGATTTAAAATGAATTTCTTTAGAACTGTTTTCTACGTTTAGTTTGTTGTCCTTCCCCCGCAAACTCCGACGAGCACGGTTGGCTCTGCACGGTGCAAAATACGTTCATCATACACGTATATCATACGCACTCAGTATTGTATTGTTCAATGATTACGTAGAGATTGCTGCGTCTTGGCAGATAAGTAAGGTGCGGTGTTGCTTGCGTTGCTTCACTGCTGATTTATAATTATAATGATATGACTGTACTAAAAATACACGCGCAGTAGCAGCTTTGCGCTTAAATGTAAACGCTGGGGTGCATGAATGTTAAGAATTAACCAACTACCACCACCAAAATACAAAGATCTCCCTACAGACTGAACAGACTGTTGGGGCAAGTGCCGTTAGCGAGCACCTATGAAGGCCGACACGCCACACGAGGAAGTGGGTGGCCAGCACCACGTCCGCCCGCCTTTGTCTCCCTTGTCGCGATGTTTTCACATTACACCAGGTACTAATTTGAGGCTGAGCCGACCTAGGGGAGGCCCAGGACCGGTTTAGATAATTGTCACTGGTGTCGACCGTGAACGGGGATCGATCTTGAGTCGCCGCTACACTACCGCTCCCCGCACTCGCCTACTCACAGACTTACTCATTCATGTACTCACTCAGCCACTAACTTACCGACTCACCCACTTACTCATTCAACCCCTAACCCACTCACCCACTCACTTTCTCAGTCACTCACCACACCGCAGGTCGCCTCACTTCTCCCCTCTCACCGCTCCACTCTGGAATCCGCTCCCATCGCCATCTCTACCCCCTCCCCCAGCTCTTAGCTCAGTGCTCTTCACTAATTTTCAGAGGTGGGGCCACTTGCGCCGATAAGACATCATCAGCGTGAGAGCCGTCACACCATTTCAAGTTCATTTCAAGTTCATTAAATAAGGTATAGCCCTGTGAGTCATTCGCCTCTTGAATCGGGGGCAACTGCAACAAACAAAAAACAAAAACATGAACAAGAAAACATCTTAAAGTGAATATGTGACTATGTGCAAACATACAATCCAAGAAAAGACAGCAAAATATTGCAGAAAACATACCGTACACCAACGCTGTGTGCAAAAATCCTATTTGAAAGCTTTAGGGTTTGCCAGCAGCAGCACGATGATGATGATGACAGGGGGTGTTTTCACTCGTTGTGTATTATCGGGGGGCCGCACGTCAGAGGGCCCCACTGAAGGCCCCCAGGGCCCGCGGGTGGCCCGCGGGCCTTGCACCGAAGAGCACTGGCTGACAACGACGATGACCTCGCTCACTTCAAGCAATATACCACGCACTCGTGTCGATTACAACTTTTTTTGTGCTGCGTGTTGCTGGCCGCTTGCCGTGTCGGGCCTTTGCACGTGGCTCAATAACTTGTGTTTAAACACAGGGTGCTTCAAACAATTGTTAACACTTACATGGGACTATCGTTTTTAATGGTAAAACAACGGATAATACACTGTAACATGATAACAGATGTAATGTTAATAGCTCCAAATAGTCAAAGAGTCTCCGCTTGTTTGCCATCATTGTCAACGCGTGCCTGGAATCTTCTCCAAGTGGTATCCAGAGCCCGGAGGCACATTTATTGTGGTATTGCTGCAGATTCTCACAAGTGTTAACATTTTTTGGAAGCACCCTGTAAATATATTTTTTAATAAACTGGACTTCTATTGAATCAAATATCGCACACGTTCACGAAAATTACATATATAACAGTATACTGTATATAGGAAGAAATCAA